ATATTTGTAATACTTCATTAAATACTTCATTTAACTGATTTCCTAATAGAGGATACTTCTCTATCAGGTAAGAGATATTTATTCATTACAGCACTACTTAAAATCCCTCTAGACATTTTCTTGGGACATACTGTAAAAACAGACTTACTGGATATATAGAATAACCATCTGAAATATACTGCCAAATCATTCTTCTGCATTCAAAAAGTCACCCATGTAAAATGCTATCTCATATAAACAGCACTTTTTCCAACCATGGCCCCTAGATAAAAACACAGAAACCTTCAAGGAAAGGCCTCCTAAAGGAAGGTCAATCTTGAATATTTGCTCTGAGTTCTAGTTCTCAATTTGAAGCCTTTATCTCTTGTCTAAAGGCTTCTTCTTTTTCCAACCATGGCCCCAGGTAGATGCTGGCAAGTCTGTCTCTCCTTCAGATACTGCAGGCACATTTCCAACTGCATTTCAAGGCAGATATCCCTCTGTTGAGGTTCTAATTCTTTTCAAAATAATTTATCTAAAGTATTCTTTCTCCATACTAAATGATATCCTTGAAGTCCTAACACATCTGACGTTTCCTAGAACTTTCATAGATACCAGGATGCAGGCAGGTATTTAGAGGAAACCCAGACTAGTTCAAGATGCATACCAACTTCTTGCTTGGACAATTGTTAATACCTCCCAACACTGCTTCCATCACTTCTCTCCTCCTCAAAACTTTTCAGAGACCTCACTACCTAATAAGATAAAATCTAAATTTTGATGATTTCAAATTCAATTGCAACCTTCTTCTGCTTCCTCAAACAACCTTCCTGACTCAATTTAAACCTGCAGACTCCTTGAACAAAAGACATGACTACAGACCAATTTTCACTTTGGTGCCTTGATTTTTGTTGCTGCCTTGGTTCCCCAAAACATGCTGTTTACTATCAGCTTTTCTGTATTCTTAAAAATCAACTAAGAGCCAAGAACAGGGACACATGCTTATAACCCCAGCTACACAGGAGGATGAGCAGGAGGATCACAATTTGGAGGCCAACTTGGGTAACACTGCAAGGCTTCATCTTAGAAGGGGGGTAAAAATCTACACTAAAGGATGAAGTTACCTCTGACCACTTCATTGCTTAGTGTTCTCTCCCACCTTTAGGTGCTCCTTCTTAAAGACAATAAAAAGGGCTACCCCAGTCATTTGACATTCATTCAGGCATATATTTCCCAAAGTTATCTAGTATCACATATGCCCATTCTAGATAAATCTCCTGAAAATAAGAGGTCTCTTTAGCAGTCTTAATACTATTCGATACGTACAGTAAGTGTTTACTATAGATATTTGTCAAATATATCCAATGTTTAATATTGAAAAGTCTCAAACATACAATAATATGTATTTTCTGAACTGGAAATAGTRAAGTAGTTTTTGTTATACTTCAGCACCTATGATGGTGCCTATAAATGCATAAGTAATCTATAAATGAAAGTGTACATAAACTTGAATGTGGTGAAAGGAGAGCAGGTTGATAGATCCGTTAGCATTGTGGATGATTGAACTAATTAGTCATAGAGAATATAATTTATCAACATAGAATTTCAGTATTCCCTTGCTCTTACATGAATTTGGGTCTCAGAACTGTGGGCCTCCGATTGTGAGCCAGGTCCTCCTCCTTTTCTTTTTTTTTTTAATTGTAGATGGACACAATACCTTTATTTTATTTATTTATGTGGTGCTAAAGATCAAACCCAGTGCTCCACACATGTGAGGCAAGTGCTCTACCACTGAGCCACAATCCCACCCCTACAAGATCATTCTTTTAGKGAATTATTTTAATAAAATCCACCAAATTTCACTAAGACCACTAGATATATTTGGGTATTAAAGTAATAAACATTATTCAAGATCATAATATTAAATTGGGATACCAAGGCAGAGATCTACCTGTGAATGTTCTTCAAAAATTGCAGTCTAACTTAGACTAGGCTACTCCACTAAGTGTGTTTGTAAATTCAGAACTTCCTACCTTTGGAGCCAACATTTCCATCTGTACTGGTTTCACAGAAGCAGTGGGTTTCAGTTGTTTGTTGACATTTGTTGCTTTGGTGGGCTGAACTGATACTTTGGTGTTTTGAGTTTTCTACAAGGAAAATACAGGATAGAGCAAGACAGTTACATGTTGTCCCTCAGGTCTATACAAAATCAGCCTCTAATGCACATTTTTGCCTTATGGTTGTTACCTTCACTACTTGTGCTGCTCTGGTTGTAACTCTATTTCCAATTTCTTCTAAAACCCCACGCCTGATAGTCACATGACTCTTGGCTTTAGGATTAACTCCTATGTCAATATTCTCCAAATCAGTGGACAACTAAAAAAAAGAAAAAAAGTTAATCAGGCATTAAAATGATTGAAAATATTTAACTAATATCAGATATTCAATTTTAGAATTGCTCTGGGAAAGGTGAATATGCTGGGATCCATTTGCAAAAGGGAAAAGGTACATGTTAGGAAGCCTAAATATGCTATTTGAGATTAATAACATCACTCTAAATTAGGCACCATCATTATACATCTTTTTTTTTTTTTTTTTTTGAAAAGCAAGTTTATTTAAGCTACATCAGTCCAGAGGGGCTAACAAAATCTCTGGACCCCAGGTCTGGAAATTCTTTTGAGATTTATACTCAGTGGGTGGTTACACAACAGGGTGGTTAACATAACAATAGTTACTTTTTGTTCCACATACATCTCATTTATAATAGAGATCCTTCACTAACCTCGAAAAAACTATTTTGAGTATTCAAGTGGGTCTGTAAGAGAACTTCAAAGCTTCACAAATRAAATTATTATTTCTCATGTAGCATCCATGTCACATGCTAGAGATCCCTGTAGATTAAAAACCTATATTTATTTAGTTAAAATTCTTCCTTTACAGAGATGAATAATAAGTGCATTCAAGATGAATTATTAAAAGCTGTAACATCAGTATTTAATAGTAGTTCCGGCTGTTTAAAATCCCAATGCTTAAATCCTAACCTTTAATTAGTATACCATTCTAGAAATAAGAAATGTTTCTGTAGAAATGATCTCTTAGAAATACAGCTATGCTGGGCACAGTGGCACATGCCTGTAATCCCAGTGGCTCAGGAGGCTGTGGCAGGAGGATTGTGAGTTCGAAGCCAGCCTCAGCAAAATCAAGGTGCTAAGCAACTCAGTGAAACCCTGTCTCTAAACAAAATACAAAATAGGACTGGGGATGTAGCTCAGCAGTCCTGTGTCCCTGAATTTAATCCCCAGTACAAAAAAAAAGAAGAAGAAATATAGCTTTCAAAAATATGGTGGTCATAAAGTAGATTTTCTCTTATATTAAGGATATTTAAAATGGAAATAGTTTCCTTGGGTATAACACTTTTAGCTCTCAAATTCTCAGCTTAGGGGCTGGGGTTATGGCTCAGCGGTAGAGTGCTCCCCTAGCATGTGCGAGGCCCTGGGTTTGATCCTCAGCACCACATAAAAATCAATAAATAAAGGGATAAAAAATTATTTTTAAAATTGGGAAAATTTTAAAAAATTATCAGCTTAACCAGCTTTATTCAGAACATACTTAGAAACAAAATTTGCTAGGAAAAGCAGTTCATACCACTTTTATTGTAAAAATGATAAATATTTCATGAGGAGAAAAAAAAAAAAAAAAAACCCTGAGAGTTGGAAATCCTATAGGTTTGAGTGGACCTACCAGGGTAGACAGAAAGGCCAGGGAAAACTATAGCCCTTCCTGAGCAGAAAGAACCTGATTATAAGTTTATAGGATAAAGTAGACCCCCCCACAAAAAAAAATTATTGGTTCAGTTTTTCCAGCATCGATTGACAATTTAAAAAAGTGTTTAAAAATTTAATGCTCGTGGATTGAAGCCCGGTAATGTGACTAAGTTTAAATTCATCTGGAAGGGAAAACTGGCAGCTTTTAACTAGAGCCTTGTAGCCAGGAGGATGGAACTCAGCTGTGTCAGGTCCCTCTAGTTTTCAGCAAAGCAAAAGTAAATCCAGGTACAATTCAAGCCCACAGGAGCAATATTAAACACTAATAATACTTTGATTTGTGCAAATATAAATAAATGATTTGGACTCTTTCAGTATGTAATACTGGTTCAAATTATATGMGAAATTTCTACACTTAAGAAATTATTGTTTTAAGAGGACAAAACCATACATCAGTGAAATGGGAAATTCATACAAAGCAAAAGGTGAAAAATCTGAAAAACAGTCATGGCATAACCCTTGACCAACTATGGAATYTCTTCCAGTTCTCCCCACCCCCACCAAAGACTAGCCTTAGTTGGCAAAGCGTTTTGAGAAAAGGGGAAGGAAATCCCAAGAACTTGTATTTAGACATCTCTCTAACAACAAAGACCACTCGCTGAGTAACAGGCCCAATAATGGGGAGGTTCCCCTGACAGATGGCACCTCCCAGGAGCTTTCCTACACCTCCTCCACCAAGGAGGAAGCGGAAACCAGAAAGCTTAATTGAGACCGAGAGGCCCTCCAGAAAGGACCTGCTATATGGACAGGAACGCCAGGGGTTCCGTGAGCCCCGGAGAAAGGAAATGCAGCCCCAGTTGGAATGAAGAAGCAAGAAACAGAAGAGGGAAGCGAGAGGCGGATGGAAGAGGAGGGATGGGGGCTGCAAGTCACAAGCTGCAGTCCCTGTTGAGAGGTGACCGGGCACACTCACCGTCGGGCGTCGGAGCAGCGCCATGAGGGAAGAGAAAGACAAGTGTGCCAGCCCGGCCCAGGGAGGGACACGGACGGAAGCAGAATGGAGCTAGCGTCTGCGGCGCCGTTGGGCCTGCACTCCAGGCCCGCACCGCTGGAATCTTCGGCGAGGTCTCCTTGTTCTAGGATTCAAATACCGCACCTCTCGCGTCCCCATTGGGTGGCCTTACGCACCGCGCGCTCTTCTCATTGGTTAAACCAGGAGACGTTCCCGCACACTGATTGGATGAATTTTCCCAGCCTGTTTGGTTGTCGTAACAACTGGGAAGGGGGATGTGCGTGCTCCGTTGTGGACCTGTTTTAGCCTAGTCTTTAAAAAAAAAATTCTTTAGTACTATGCATTAAACTCAGGGGCACTTTCCAACTGAGCCACAACCCTACTATTTATTTATGGGTAGAATCTCACTAAAATGCTTAGGGCCTCGGTAAATTGCTAAGGCTGGCCTCAGCCTCCCCAGTCGTTCGGATTACAGGCAAAAGCCACCACGCTGGGCTCTTCCYCATTCTCTCCTTCCCTCCCTCCCTTTGTCCCACAAGATCTCACCCTGGATATGTTGAGGTTGGTACTGAGTGGGCAGAAGTAGGATCTAGGAAGATGCCCTTGGCATTCCACATCTGACCCTCATTCCTCTTAAGAAATATCAAGTCCAAGTAGAGATTGGGTTGGCCTGGGAACAGGCACTTCTAGGTTGCTTAGCGCTGTTGTTTTGAGTTGAGACTCAAACTTGTAAATTGGCGTAAATTAGATTATGACTCCCATGAGACACAAATTAAAAACAATACAGGTTGAAATGATTTGTCCGTTGTATTCCCAGCATCCAGTATTGTTTGATAACTGGTCAGGGCCGATAAATATTAACTGAATAAAAAATCCTGTGATAGGCTAGGGTTGTGACTCAGTGGTAGAGTGTTTACCTGGCACATGTGAGGCACTGGGTTCAATTCTCAGCACCACATTAAAATAAATAAATAAATAAATAAATAAATAAAATTAAGGTATGTGTCCATCTAAAACTAAAAAAAAAGAAAATGTACTTAAAAAAAATCCTGTGAGGTGTGTTAAGATTTTTAAATGAAAAACAATACGTGTCCCAGTCTTCAGCATTAGAGTGGGAGAACAAAAATCCCAAGGGATTATTGTTTGTCCTGGAAAAGACAAGAGGGACAGGAAAAGAAGGCTGGAGGTGTGGCTCAGTRCTGAAGCCACATGCAAGAGGCCCCGAGTTGACTCCTTAGCATCCCAAAAACAAACCAGGAAAAGGCAGCTGGGCGCCATGGAAAATGCCTGTAATCCCAGCAGCTCCGGATGGAGGATCTCAGTTCAAAGCCGGCCTCAGCAACAGCGAGGAACTAAGCAGCTCCAGGAGACCCTGTCTCTAAATAAAATACAAAATAGGGCTGGGATGTGGATCAGTGGTCGAGTGCCCTTGAGTTCCATCCCTGGTCCCCTCCACTGCCCCTGGCCCCCCCTCCCCCAAAAAAATCAGGAAAAGAAAAACCCAGTGCTCACAGCAAAGGCAATGGAATGTGACTAGATAGAAGGATCCAAGAATTTGAACAAAATTTCTCACAATTTTTGGCTCATTTCTCATGTACTTGGTTAATAATAATATAACTACTCAGAATTAAATTCCTTCCTTTGCCCCAATCCTAACTGCTGGCCATCACACATTTCCAATCCCAATCTGAAGGCAGGAAAAAAAGGCAATGTCTCAGCGGGAAAGCTGTCCAGCAGAAATTCCCCCTTACTCAAAGGAGGACTAGAACTTTTGTCTATTCAGGCCTTCAACTGAYTGGAGGCGGCTCACCCACACTGGGGAAGGCAAAATGCTTTACTCAATTTCTTTAAGACACAATTTCACTATGTTGCCAAGGCTGGACTCAAACAATTGGGCTCAAGCATTCTTCTCACCTTGAGGATGGGATTACAGGTGCACAACACCACACACAACTAATTCAAATTTTCATCTCATCTAGAAACATCCTCACAGACATACCCAGAATTTCTAATCAAAATGTCTGGTCACCCCATGGCCAGTCAAGTTGGCACATAAGCATTATCACAATACTCAACTATCAAGAAAACTGCAGGAAAAAATCTAAATTGCACAAAGATATAGAAAAGGACCAGAAATACCTATTTTCATCCCATGAATTTCTTTTTCTCAAATATCAGCCTGAGGAAATGATGAAGTTTTTTCACTGCTGATTCCTCTGACAATTATCTTTGAGAACAAAGATCAATTTTTGTATATAGGCTTCTCTCCTCATGGTAAGTATTGGTTTAGGAKCGGGGAAACTAAATGTGTTCAGAAATCTGTGCTAAGCATTCTAATAAAATAATGGAGCTCCTTTTACAAAACTTACTTTGGTGGATTAAAAATGACTACAACTTGGACAGGGGATATAGCTCAGTTAGTAGAATGTTTGCCTAGCATGCTCAAAGCCCTGGGTTTGATCCCCAGCACCACAAATAATAATTATAAAATAATAATAACAACAACTTGTTTATACAGCACCCTTTATTAACAGGTGTATTTTCTATCTCCTTAAATCTGGACTTTGTTGTTCTGACCARCAGAGTGGCAGACGTGATGTTGCTCTGGACATTTCTCTTAAAGGTCTGGCAGTTTCTGCTTTCTCCTTTGAAGCACTTAGCCACCACTGTGTAAATAGGTCTAGTTATCCCTTGCTAGAGAGATGACATTGAAATGCCCAGCAAATCATCAGCTGTTTCTACAATCCCAACCCAAGCATTAGGTATGTAAGGGAGGCCATACTGGGGCATTCTATTCCAGTAGAATTCCCAACCTGAATGTAGGTAGCTACATGAGCAACACCAGTCTTACTATAGTGAGAGATGAGCTGTGTCCACCCAGTCCTGCACAAATTGCATGTATGTGGGCAAATAAATTTTTTTAAGGCAACTAAGTTTTGCAGTTGTTACAAAGTAGGTAACAGATTCACTTACTTGGGGAACACCTGATCCCTATACACCAAATAAGCCTTTTGTTTTCTAGTATAGTCTTGTCATGTTGGCTTCTCATAGGCTCTTAGTTTAGGAAAACAGTATAGTATTTGAAATGTACAATCATTTGTAAACTCTTGAATTCTCAATAATGCCATCCTAGTATATTTTGCATGGGAAAATTGAGCACATTCCATTTCCAGACATTTAGGCATTTGGTTATCTCCCAAGGGCACAAGAAACCATGTTTATCTGGTATGGAACTATGATTCATATGTAATTCAGAGCCTTGGGAAGCGCTGAGGCCAGTCTGATAGAATTTTTTTCTACAGAAAACCAGTTGTCTGAAGCAGAGTCTTGACACAGGGGATTAAAAAAGTTACTATTTTAAAAATACATACCCAAATCCTTGRCTGAACCTTCCATCAAATGGTAAAACCTAGTTTTACTTCCTCAAGTATACACTGTAGTCAGTGACTTTTGCTTCTAATAGAATGGTGCAGAAGTGACAGAGTATAACTTCTGAGTCTGGTCATAAAAAGGCTTCCTCCTGGCAATCTTTCTGGAAACACTCATTGTGGGAAAACCAGCCATCCTGTCATGAAAACATTCAAGTAACCCTAAGGAGGCCCACATAACAAGTAAATAAGGTCTCTTAGCCAAAAACCTGCAAGGGACAGAGGCCGACTAAACAGCTTTGTGAGCAAGCCATCTTAAAAACAGCTTTACCAGACCAGTGCAATCCTTCAGACAGCTGCAGCTCCAACTATCACATTAATTATAATTTCATGAGAGACTCTGAGCTACAGTTTAGCTCCTGTAGCTTGTTCCTGAGTGTCTGTTCCTGAATGCCTGATCCACAGAAACCGATGGTTCARTGTTTAAGCTGCTGGCCTTTGGGTCATCCCTGAACTGGCAGGCTGGAAATGTAAGTACCATGAGTTATGCTTTTTCAAACCTTGGCAGAAACCAAGTTCTTACTTTCTGAATCAGTAATAATCTCTAGAATTTTATACTCCCAAGAGTTCCCACCCCCGTGACTCCATATCAAGTATTACTACCTAAAGCAAAACTGATATAGCAGAGCCCACAATGAAAATCATTTAGTTAATCTAATCCATTCTCTGGTGATGACAAAGGATTCCAGCAATGTGTTTGGGCTAAACAAAACTGCTCCTGGAAGCCCACAGCTTCCATGTGCTCTTAGTGATGACTATCACCTAAGAGGGAGCTTACAAGCAACTAAAATACAACATAAGCAGTTCAGTAATATGTATTTTTTTAAACCTTAATAGACTGGGCACAGTGGCAAATGCCTGTAGTCCCAGCTACCTGAGAGGCTAAGGAAAAAAGATCACAAGTTTGAGGCCAGCCTGGGCAACTAAGTGAGAACCTGTCTCAAAAGAAAAAATAAAAAGGACCGGGGATGGATTTGTCGCTGTGGTAAAGCATCCCTCAGAGTTCAATCCCCAGACAAACTCTAATGGTACCAGGTCCCCACATAACAGAGGTTAGTGGAGTGAAAAATTAGAAAAGAACAGGAAACTCTAGATGTTAACTTCTCCATTTAAAAAATAATTTTAGGGAAGAGAGAGTAAATGGTTGCATATCCTATGCCAATTCTGATGCACTGGCAGTAGCTACCTAAATTACAGGAATGAACAATATTGATGGGCAATTGCATATCCTCTTACTGTGATTATGAGAGGAAGAGGAAGAAAAAGCACATAGCTGGAAATCTTTCATCCTAATAGAAAAGAAAAACTCCAACCCCTGAGGTAAGGKCCAAGGAGGATTATTTCTTCTTATTTGGTAATCAGACAGTTATACTCAATACAAGAAAAATGTTAGCACCAAAAATTTGTCTATTGTTCATTACTTTGCAAATGTTACCATCTGTTATCAAAGATGAAAGTATTTGTGTGATGAGGTGAGATAAAGCAAGTATAGGAAGAACTTATATGTATATATACTATGAGCAAACCCCTTCACACTCGTTATCTCATTTAATCCTAAGAGCAATTCTAAAAAGTAGTTCTTATTTCTATTTTGTGGATAAGAAACTTTAGGCTCAGAAAGCTTACATTGTTGAAAGCTGCACAATTCAAAACCCAAATCTGACTAACTCCAAAGTCTATGTTTATTTCGACTATTTATTCCAAAAAAACTCATGTGGCTTATAAATTTATAAAGAATACAGGAGAGAGGAAAGATGGTTCTCAGTATGCCCAATGCCAAAATATAATAACATTTATTTTTCTTACTAAACAATGATTATTTTGAATCTAATTCTTAACTGAAGAAAATGCCTAAAACCTGAGAAAATACTTCAACCTTGAAATATCCAATATTAACATGAAATTTTCAATAAATAAAAATATACTGCATTCCCAGAACTTTTGGAAGTTAGAAATTTGATTGTGTTTTCTATAGATTTAAACTTTCCCATTCATGAACATTAATAATGAAATGTCCATGAGAATTTAAATAATTTCAGTGTTAGAAGTACTTACAAATAACATTTATTATAAAAACAAAACTAGTTTTCTCTGTCAGTTGTTATGGTTCGAATGCTAAAGGGCACTGGTAGCTAAGATAAAGTAACCAGAGTAAAAATAAAGTTTCAAATATTAGTTTATCACTTGCAATATTAACAATAATAAAAATAAGGATTTGCTGACAAAAGAATTTTAGTTTTAAAAGAGTTGGACAGCTATCATTGAAATGTTTGTTTTGACAAGATGCAGCAAAATATGGAAGACACCAAAACAAAGTACAAAAGTAAAAAATGTTCATAATCATTTTCTTCCTTATTTATTTCATCACTAATCATGTTTTTCTGTAATTAGCAGCAGTAGCTTAATGATCTCCTGTGTTAACAATTCAGGTTTATACCACAATTACTTGCATTAAATAAATTAGGTATATATATATGCTTTATCAGGATTTAAAAGATCAGTAACTATTATAAAATGGGTCAACAGGCAGTTGTGCATCTAGATCTCAAGTAATATTTAAAAATAGAGAAATGTATTTCTGGCTTGTCTTGTGTTTGGGGGAATATTGAGAGGATTCCAAGGTATAAAATTCTTCCCATCTTTCTTATATGTCTTCAATCCCTTGGTACAGACCCAGCATTTGCCAGTGGATCACAGGCTACTTGAAGAATGACAGGAATAACGACAGGCAACTTGCTCCTTTCTTCAATAAGACATCAGACCTGCATCACTCTGTCTCTCACTCTTCCCTTTCTATAAATGTATCTTAATCATCAAGTATACTATAAAAGATAACATTTTTATTCCTATTTCCTAACAATAATCTACATCTTCCATCTGCTGAATCATATTGATACTGACAATTACTACTATGTAACATTTACTAATATAAAAGGGCATAATTGAATACAAACACCAAATTACACAAATATCAATGAGACCACTATTTTTGAATTCAAAGACATATATTGTTTAAAAACTAATTATGAAACACAAAGACAATAGAAATATAAGTTATTTATTAATCAATCCACTTACAAAGCAGGTGGCTTAATGCAAGCTTATTGACATCTTCACATATGATCCATGGGAACATGTCTTCCACATACAGACAGTGATATTACTGACTGGATGCATTTGCAATCTGGGGCATATTAAGCATATTTAAACAAATAAAATTAGGCTATCCTGTATATGAAAAGTATCTCAATAATATGCATCTTGAAGTGGATTAAAATTCCTCCAAAGGAGAAATGTTAGTATGTTAACTTAACTTTATACTCTATATTATGCAGTAAATCTTAACTATAGAAATTAAAAATTTTAAATCAGTGATCGACTCTTGGTAATGTATGAAGTGGGAGTCTATAACCATAGCAACAGTAGGTTGACAGTATAATTTGTGCCTCACAGTATTTGCAGATTTATTGTTTTCAAGTTTAGAGAGAAATAAAACAAGAGACATGTAGATTCAGCTCACTTTATTTACCTTTAAACTAATAAAAATCCCTTAAAAGTGATCCTGGGACCTTTAGAAGTTCTATGAATGCATAGATACCTGCCATTGACTTGAAATTCTAAATCTTGACTGAAATGTGTTTACAAAATTAATGTAAGCAGATATCTTAACTATTCGTGCTTAGTAGAAGACTGAACAAAATTCTACATGTCTTTTTCAATTTCCCTAAAATTTTGTTAAATCTGCAATTATGTACAATCCAGCTAATTGAAATTAATATTTAGTGTTCATCAAAGCTGTTTCACAGCAGCAAAAAAATCAATCAGGGAAATAAAGTTCTAAACAATGTAGAAAAAGATAAATATAATCAGAACAGCAGTCTAAATGTATGATATCAATATTCAACTCTATCTGCACTGTGCTGGAAGGAAAAGATACACCAAGAAAATTTATATTGATCACTCTGGTGATGCGAATACCACCGGTATCTGATTTGAATATGGGTTGTATTCTGTTCCCCAGTATTAAGGATGGTATTTAATTCAGAACTCCATGTTGTAAATATACAGCAGCCATTTTGTCCTAATTAAGGAATGTCTTAATACACAATATTATCATTTTCTAGAGGATCTTTATACATTAAACTAAAGCACATGATTGATTAAATTAAAGGTTAGTAATGGATAAAAAAAAGTCATAATTTTCAAGGCTTGGTACTACGTAAAAAACAAAAAGACCACAAAATTCTACTTACTAAAGCAGCTAATCTTGCCTGCAAGTTTAGGGTCACAAGCCCATAATATGTGCAAAGAAATGCAATACAAGGAACCATGCAAAAATACAGTAAAATGATACAGGAAAAATGTCAAATCTAGAAAAAAAAAATGCTTTTATAAATACATCAAAATCAACTGTATACATAAATTGTAGGTCTAGCATTAGTTGTACCATATAGCAGAGCCAGCACTCTAAGTTCAATGCTTCCAAATCTGCGCAGGTAAGTCATGCCATCTTTGGTTGACTGCAGTACCAGGAAGGATGGGAATGAGAAGGAGGGCAAGAGTTTCTGAAACATGGTGTCAACTTTCACTTGGCAGCTGGGCCTCAATGTCCACTCGGCAAATTGGGCACTTCTTATTGGTAATCAACCAYTGGTCAACACATACTTGGTGGAAAAGGTGCATACATGGAAGACGCCTAACGTTGGCAAAAAAGACAAAGCAAAAATTAATTTAATGATGACTACATGTGAAATTTATTTTTAAAGAAATTATAAATGCAATAATTCAGCATTTTGAAATTAGTGGGTCTCAAAAAAAAAAAAAAGAAGGCATAACCAGACCTCCTCCTCTTTTGAAAAAACAAACAAACAAACAAACAAACAAACACCCTAAGGAGTTACATGTAAATTAAATTAGTACTCTGTCAATATAATGCATAAGTGACCAAGATAATTAAGTATCGCAGCTAAGGAAACAAATTATATAAGATCATAAAAACCATAAAACAAAAATTACATTGGCAATTATTACAGTTTTGGTTTTTTGTATGAGTGACCAATGTACTATATTATCTCATTTAATGGCCTTTCAAAAACATTAGATCTTATGCTATAAATATACAGTAGCTATTTTGTCCTCATTAAAGAATGTCTTAATATAAAATTATTTTCTGCCTACAGGATCTTTATACCCCTTACTTAAATACATGATTCACTGGAGTCAATAATATTGTTTTTATGGAATAACTTTATATCTACTTAATACTAAACTACTGTTTCATAGGTAGGTTAAAAAAATGTTCACTTTTGGACATCATACCAAATTATTAATTACAAATTGGGAAAGAAAGCTTCCAGATGACATAGGACAACATTAAATCTAAGTGTAAGAATGGGATAAAGGTTACTAATTCAAATATCCATTTCTACTTCTATTATCATTCATACCTTCAAATTTCCTTACATTTTGTAAAAATAGTAGGTTAAAAAGAGGTGCTCCATGGCTGGGCAAGGTGGTGTACACCTGTGAACCCAGCAGCTTGGGAGGCTAAAGATAGGAGAAGTGCAAGTTCAAAGCTAGCCTCAGCAACACCAAGGTGCTAAGCAACTCAGTGATACCCTGTCTCTAAATAAAATACAAAGTAGGGCTAGGGATGTGGCTCAGTGGTTGAGTGCCCCTGAGTTCAATCCTGGTACCAACCAAAAAAAAAAAAAAAAAAAAAACAGGTGCTCCAATTGCTCCTTGAACAGTTATCAATACAATAAGCAATTAACTTTCATATCTATACACCTTCATTGGAAATAGTGTACAGAAAACCTTATTGTGTGATACAGTAGACAATAGTTCATTGTTTTTTTCCTCTCAGTTGAAGAGGTATGATAAACAGACTTTATAAAAACTAGGGCAACAATACGCTATATGATTCGGTTATACRTGTTGAAGAACCTGTTTTGTATGACATTATATTACAGGTTGATAAAACAGAATAAGAATAAAACAATTACTTCAGAGATTATACAATGAAAATATGTATAAGTAATACTGGGTTAGCAAAAGTTGAGAAGGGTGTAATCCTTTGAGTTAAGAAGAAATTCTAGGGGGAAAAAATCAATTTTTAAAAGATTATAAAGCAAGCACCACAGAACTAATGTTAGCCCCTCTTTAAACTATAGAGAAAATATTACTAAGTCTCAAAACCTTCTCATTTCTTCAAGATTTTCAGAAGACAATTCTGACCATAAAATTTCTCCAGCCAAACTTTGGTGCATCCCTAAAATATATTTCCCACCCCCACCCTTTTGTTGGTAATATAAAGCCTTTAATTTCTTTGATTCACTATAAGAAGTCAGTCAGAAGGTAATAACAGAGTATGCCAGGAGTAACCTAAATTTAATTTTTTTTAAATAAAATCCCTTGTACATTTTGACATGTATTCTAAATAATTAATATCTAGTTACCTCACATCTTCACCTTCCTCTAAAATAGACAAACAGATAGTACACTTTTCCTCTGTGTCTTCCTCAGTCCCTTCTTCCCCATCTTGTTTGCAGTGCAGTTTCCTCTGTGAGAACCAATCAGTTGTTACCTTATTAGCAGAGATGACATTATTGAACAACTGAGTAATGTCTGCATTTATTTAAAAACAAAACAAAACAATACCACATATTCACACACAACTTATTTCCCAGGTAAAACTGTCATAAATTAACAGATGCATTAAGTGACTATCAATTATTCTTTTAAGACCTTCTACATATAATCAGCATCAAAAGCAAAATCAAATTAACAGAAATTCGTTAAGTCTGAAATCTAATATTTTTAATCCACAATGAGAATGATACACCACATAAAATTTATTTCAATCCTACCATGAGCAGAGGTAAAGAAATTTTCATTTACTAACAAATGTTTCAAATAACATCCATATAAATTAAAGTTAATTATACAATTTAGCTTAGATGGCTGAAATGACTTAAATTGAAGAGTAATACTTCATTGACACTCTTGGAAAACATGAAAAGGGAAAAAAAACAGTAATTTTCACAATTTATTATTACTTTATAACATAAAGCATTGTTTGTTGTTTATTGTAAGAAACTTATTTGATATTTCTACTCTGTAATTTACAGCTATAATACTACAAACAAAGGTTGGAGGGTAGAGTATAAGAAATACAGATAATTAAATGTCCATCAAAATGAATGACTAATTTAAAAAATTATTATACCATATGATGAAATTTTATGTTAGTAAAAAGAATATGGGTTGGGGCTGAGGTTGGGGCTCAGTGGTAGAACACTTGTCTTGCATGTGTGAGACCCTGAGTTCGATCCTCAGCACCACATAAAAATATAAATAAGTAAAATAAAGGTACTGTGTCCATCTACAACTAAAAAAATAAAAAAAAAAAAAAAGAAGAAGAAGAATATGGGTGGATCTGTGAGCACTAACATTCAATGAATGGCAACATGCAAACTGTGCCTATCATTCCTCTTGCATTCTTTTTAAAAATGGAGGAAAAATACATACATATGTATATTACTATGAAATGCACAAAAATATCTAGGAGAATATCTATGAAATCTTATGATTTCATTTCTGGGAAGAAAGACTAAGGTACACAAGGTAAGAAACTGCAAAGTGTATGTTTTCAGTTTACATTTTTTTTAACCATATGTATGTAATCGTTTTAATAATTAATAATGTAGCTTTTTGACTCTACAAATTCAAAGAAGGTCTATAATACTAAATTTTATGTGATTCAATAACATTCTAGAAGTCTCACAGAATAAATCCTTACCTTTTTGTATTTATGTGGATATGTACACCTTTCAATTGTCCCCTGGGATGCTCCACGATTGACATTTCCTAATCTTTCTTCCAAATGAATCAGTTCCTAAAAATGAAGAAAACTAGTATTAAAAGCCAGGATGATTATTCTTTGAATAATATGTATTATCAATCTTACAAAAGTAATAAACTTCCATATTTATAAATCTATAATACAAATACGATTTAAAAAATGACAAGACAAATAATTTATATATAAAATAGCTTTATATGTATCTTTTCTCATTCAACTGATATATATATATATATATATATATATATATTATACACACACACACACACACACACACACACCCCTCATATGTATATATATTATATCCTTGTATATAAGGATATATATTAGAACACCAATATTACCAGCTGGTACTATAAATCTATGTATGTATACATGTAGAAAATGAAATCACTCTATTAAATTAAGAAAACATATAAATTGGTAATTCTAAATCATACCACTTTCAACCTTCCAAACTGAAACACCACAAACTTTAAACAATATTTAAATGATTTGTTCTTCCTGAAAGTTCAAATGAGAAGAAATTTAGCTACAAACTAAATTACTTAGGTTTCTTTTTCTCGGCAATGTTTTTCTAAAAATTAAGCTCATTCAAAAGCATTAAGCACTTCCATTTAATAGTACAGCTCTTTCTGATATTTATTATGAATTTAATGGATTTTTTAAAAGTCTTTCATATTAACTATTTTCACCAACTCTTTTTCTAAATACTTGGGAAACTTCTGAAACTAAGATTAACTTTGCTTATATATATTTCTGCAACCCCAGAAGTAATATCAAAAAAAATCAGACATTGTACTGCTGACTCCTGACCACTGCAGCAGTCCTATACAACTTCGATTATTAATTGTGTATGTATGCTTTCTCTGCACTAAAGGTACTATATAAAATACCTTCATTGATTTTACTGCATACCTCAAAATTTCCCCTGAAAGGACCTCTGAATGAAGTTCCATCCAATCCTGATGAAATGTAACGGATATGAGGATAGCCTGCCATGTCAGGAACCTATTTTAATACAAGGGATAGGCTAAATCAATTAAGAATAGACTYGTGTTTCACTGTTAATACTGAATAATTCAAGTTCTGCATTTAACTCATAAAATTCAGCTTTAATAAGTACACATAACACCAGCTAAGCATTCTGTAATAAGGTTAGGATCCTCTAAAAATACAATCTCATAAAATAACTTATAGTCAGAAGAAATAAAAGAAACATAGCTGTTTCAAGAGATTARCAAGTTTCTTCTATTTGATTACACTAAAAATTCTATATTAGAGYTGAGTGTGCTGGTTCAAGCCCACCTTCCCAGCTACTCAGAAGGCTGAGGCAGGGGGATTGCTTGATCCCAGAAGTTCAAGCCAGCCAGGGCAACACAGCAAGACACTGTCTCAAAATAAAGAAAAAAAAAAGAACTCTATGTAGAAAATATTCAAACTTAAGCTTAATGCTCTTAGTAGCATAAACTGGAATAAAATTTTCATAARATCTTCCAACTTCAGAAAGCTTTGTTAAACAGTATTAAAAATACATAGAAATACTGGGCATGACTGACACTACCGTAACCCCCAGACACTCAGGAGGCCGAGGTAGGAGTATCGCAATTTCAAGGCCAGCCTTAGCAACTTACCAACTAGGCCCTAAGCAACTTAGCAAGAGCCTGTCTCAAAGTAAAAAATAAAAAGGGTGKGGATGTAGCTCAATGGCTAAGTACCCCCCTAGGTTCAATCCCCGCATGCTCCCTCCCCCAAATGTATAATAGATATACAGAATATTCCCACAAAATTTAACTCCAAGATAAATTTTATTTCCCTCACTTCCTCATAGTTCCTGACCAAAGGAATCATATCCCCTTCTCTCCATCTTTTTATCTTAATTCTGTCCACGAAAGTATTAATTTTTTGTTAGAATCATTTGTAGATTTCATTATTTGTGAATTGGCCTACAATCTAAAAACTTACTTATGACCCCAAATCAACACTTGAGCTTCAGAGTCATTTGTAGACATGCTCTACCTTCCTGTTGCAGTTCAATTACAAACAAGTATCTTTCTTGTAGTCTATTTAGTATCATKCTTTTCATATTTTTGTTCTTTTTGTTCATGATTTCATTGTTTAATGGCACCCAAAGATAGTGTTCCAGTGCTATCTATAGTGTTCCAAAACAAGGAACCTGTGATATGACTTATGGAGAAAACATGTATTAAGTAAGTTTTGCTCAGACACTATTAGTTTTAGTGTTATTGGCTAAGCAATTCGATGTTAATGAACCGACAATATTAAATAAATTGTCTTTAAACAAAAACACACATAAAACAAGGTTATACACAGATCAGCTGTCAACTGATCAGGCATGGTGGCACATGCCTATAATCCCTGTCACTAAGAAGATCACAAATATGAGGTCAGTCTCAGCAACTTCGCAAGATCCTGTCTCAAAATAAAAATAAAAAGAGCTAGAGATGTAACTCAGTAGTCAAGTACCCCCAGTTTCAATTTCTAGTACCAAAAAAAAAAAAAAAAAAAAGGCTAACTATTTTAGGAAAGGGAGATTATGGGATACACCACTACCATCTTCATAAACAAACCTCCAACATGGCTTCCATTCTCCCCAACCTGGATTATGCTTAATTAACTATTCCTCACTTCTCTCTTTGAAAGAACAAGCACCCTCTCTAACTAATTTGTTTCTCCAAACTTAAATTTTCTCCTTAATACTGGAATTATTATCAATCCTATTTCTCATTTTCCCTTCACAGGCAAGATATAAATCAAGTAGTCAATATTCAYGGTCTTCAAATTTCCACCATTCTTAACAGTAATATATGAAATGCCCCAAGAGTTGGGAGTGTATCTCAGTGGTAGAGCACTTGCCTAGCATGCAAGAGGCCCTGGGTTCAATCCCATATAGTAAGGAAGAAGAAAAGAAAGAAATGGGGGGGTGGAAATGCCTCATCTCCATTTCTGACCATTATTTAAACCACTCTGACAAAAGCCATCAATAAATGCATTCAACACTTTCCAAACTTCTTTTAATAATGAGACACTAATGGTATATCTCATTATATATAAGACACTATATGCCATAATATATGGTCAATATTAATTTCTGACATTATTCTAACTTTTTCAACATTTTGAGCCAATTCTCAGTATCATTTGTAGTATAATATTTTCATTTAAATATCCATATTGTATTCTCCATTCCACTCTCTTGTCATTTACTATACCTTTTCCCTCAAAATCTAATCCTCTTCCTTATATTTATTACCACTAGATTTGCCAGATCACAAACATGTCCTTAACCCAGATACTTGTAGAGGTCCAGACCATAAACTTAATTTTCCATTGGACATTCAGCTTTAACAGTTATCTCAGATTCAATATGTCCAAGACCTATTTCACTGAACTACTACTCCAAACCATTTACTCTTTTCCAATACAGTGCACATTACTATACACCTTTTTACTCAAGCTAGAAATCTGGTAATCACGGGTTGGGGATGTGGTTCAAGTGGTAGCGTGCTCACCTAGCACGTGTGAGGCACTGGGTTTGATTCTCAGAACCACATAGAAAAAAAATAAAGATATTGTGTTCACCTAAAACTAAAAATAAATAAATAAATATTTTTTAAAAAAGAAATTTGGTAATCAGCCTAAGTATCATTCAAATGTGGCCTATCATTTTTATGATAACTGCCATTGCTTTTGTTCAAGCATTTATCAACATTTACCTCTTCTACAAAAAGCCCACATTAGTTTCCTTCTCCCTGCCWATAAAATCTATTTTTCATTTAACTCATGACGTATGGTTTTTCTAACTACCATCTAATTAAATCACTCTAAAGCATAAACATTAACAAGACTCTCCCCCTTCAACAGTTCCTAAGTTCTAGTTTCTCTTTATTCTTTTCTTTTCTAGCACTGGGGATGCAACCAAGGCCTCAGCCCCACAGCCTACAGTTTAATTTTTTAGGGTTTCTATCCTCACCCCTGAGATCAAAAAAAACACCAACTTACTTGGAGTTCCTAGGGCTTATACTGTTTGATAACTCTTTACATGATGCAATCTCTTCAACAGTACCATGCCAAAGTCCATAGCCTGGTTAGCAGTCTCATGTACAATAAGCTTCTCTGAAACCTCTATAGAATYTATTCCTTCACCAAGATAAAATCACTCCCTTTTCTGTACCACATCTATAACTGGTATGTATTACAAAGAGCAAACTCAATAAATATTTGCTAAACTTTTTTTAGCACACAACTTATCAACAAAACCTAAATCAGAAGTAGAGAGAAGTACTGTTCTTCCAGAGATTAGAGAAGGAAAAAAAAAAGTGTAAATGCAGCAGAACAGAGTCATTACCACTCATGGCAGGTTAACTAAAGCACACATCCTAGTGACAGTAGATCATGATTTTACTGATAGATAAAAGCAAACCCACTTTTTAGAATTTTTTATTTTTTTATTTTTTGTGGTGCTGGGGATTGAACCCAGGGCCTTGTGCATGCAAGGGAAGCACTCTACCAACTGAACTACATTTCCAGCCCCAAAACCACTTTTTATATTTAATTTGTATATTAAGAGTACAATGCACATTATAAACACAAATTTTAGCATATCTAATAACTTTTTATAGCACAATTTCATCTAGAATCATTCTCAAATTCTACTAAAACATAATTAACAATATATTAAAAAATTTTTCAAAATATTTAGTTTAGAAGAACATGTCAGAATTTTGAAAAATTTCCATTTTACCATTAAAGGAAGAGCTCCTAATTGTAAGTGATGAAGTCGAGGAGGTGCATGGTAATGGGCCAAATGAGGATGCAATGCACCAGGTGTATAAGTAGCTGCAGTCACTCCAGCTTCAATTCCCAATTCCCTGWCAAAGGACACAAACAGTTAGTCTTTTTCTAATCAACAGAAATGAGTGGATACATTTACATTTTAAAAATAATCTAAAGTTTCTTAACTAATAAAGGCCAGAAAAAAGATAATTTAGCCCCAAAGATATTACCAATAATTTCAAATTCGTTATAGAAATGAAAGTTCAAAAACTCAATTTTGTGACCACCATGAGAAGCAAAGCATCTGTACTTGGTTTGACATCTTACAAAGTAAGATGGCTCCTGGGGTCCCTTCCAATCCAAAAATCTGATTCTGTTGAAGGAGCATACAAAACAGTTTACTTTTTTGGTTTATCTGAATGCTACAGATGCTCCTGGGGCTTTTGTTTGTTGGGTTATCAYCTCTGGGTTGTTGGCATCAAAGATAATTAGAATAGCAAACTCTTCTATACCTTATAAAACAAGAGTAAACAAATTTTAGAAAGAGTAAAAATTTAACATTCTAAATCTTCATTATTTAGTCTAATTTATGTTCTGCTTCTAAAAGTTTTTGTTATTAATTATGATCTCAATGACTGCCTACACTAAATGGATTCAGAAGAAAAATTTACTGCAAATCTACTTCCATTTCTTTAGGAAAGACCTTAAGCCTAGGGAAATGCAGGTTGGATTCTCCCTTGGCAGAAGCTGGGGATATTAGAGCAAATCTGAGTACAAAGGTAAGGAATAAAGAAATTGGGGAAAGTAGGATGTAATTATGTAGTTAACCTTGGTGACAGGCACTCATGAAAAAACAAAGAAAGCTCTACTCCTTTCATTTACATGTGAGATCCAAAATAGTCAAACTATACAAAGAGAAAGCCACAGGCTTCAGATGGAGAGAGGAAGGTAGATGAAGAAAATGGGTTTGTACCTTGGTCAACAGGTACAAACTCAGGACTAAGTGCTGGCATTCTATTGCATAGCATGGCAACTGCAGTTAAAAATAACACACTGTATATTTCAAAATTGCTAAAAGAGAGGGTCTGAAATGTTCTCACCACAAAAAATGGCATTTGAGGTAATGGATGGGCTAATTAATTAGCCTGATCTGATCATTCTGCAATGCATACGTTATTAAAACATTACACAGTCCATAAACATACACAATTATTTTGTCTATTAAGAATTAAATAAAACATTAAGCAAACAAAAAACTTTACTCCTGCTTGTGGTAGTTCCTTGCCCCAGACCTCAAGCTCTTATTCTTTCTTCTTTAGGACTCCACTCACATAGGGGCAGTGCCTCACAATTAAACTTAAATCCTGTTTTCCCACACTACCCTTCTAACATGGCATTCCTCTACAAAACATCTTTTCCCATAGCTTTACCACAAGCTGCCAGGCATATCTTTGAAATAAACAAGATACTAACCAGGCAGATCTCTCTGGAGCCTGACGAGGATGTGAGGACATAGTTTGAGGCACATGAATATGATGCCCATGACCATAATTTGGGTGCATCCTGTGTGGATGGGGTGGGGGGCGTTCATGTGCCCGCCTGGAAACACAGAACACAAAAAGACCACTGGAAATAATTGAATAATTGGTTACTTCTTAATATAGAAAAAAATTCTACTATTCATATTTGAACATTTACAGATCAGTCATAAAATTYATAGCAATAAATTATAAACATGATATAAAATTATTTAATAATAAGTCAAGAAACCATAATCACCTCCACAAATTCTACCTACTCATTTATTCCCATACCTCCAATTCAAATATTCCAGGAAAAGGGCAATTTTATTATCTTGTAAACCTATTTTACAGCATGTATTTTAACTGGGAGAACAATAGGAATTGAATGGAAACAAAATTTTTAAAAATTATCCCAGCAAATGTTGCATGCACAAACTATTTTATAATARGCATAAAGCAAGAAAAAAGAAACTTTTATTTTGCTTCACTTACATTATAAAACATTCAACCACTTTAATGGATAAAATCTTAAGAGAGAAGTTATTAACCTCGTGTATTTTTTTTTCTAAAACACATTGTGTTTAAGAAACATTTTCTAAAACACATCTTTTACAACACATTGAAATTTAGATCACTATATTCTGCATCTCAGTTACTGYATTTTCACTTCCTATCAAATTGACAAATACAAATGAACATAAATTCTTAAACAAAGGACACTCATTTAAAAAAAGAGTTCATTCTCAGGATTCATCTTTATAGTGTATTTCAAAAACGATCTCTAACAGACTTGCAAATTTTCAATGTTTACTCTTAATGMATTCAAATAATTCTCTAGGTCCTGGAGGATATAACTGTTAAGTGAGCAATTTTCTACATCAAGGGTTATATTACAATAACAGCAATACTGTTATTGTAATACAAATTCTGGATAACATCTTGAATTATTGAACCAAAGGAAGAATTCACATGAATGCTAACCCACTGGTTAAATTAAGAGCTTTATAAATATTTTTTATATAAAGGAACAAATGGTACTTTTTTTTTTTCTTTTTGGTTCTACAAGCCATATGGTCTCAACTAGACCTTCATTGTGTGAAGGCTGCCATAGACAATATATAAATGAACAAATGTAGCTATTTTTCAATAAAATCTTATTTATGAAAACAGGCAGGGAGAAGTAAATCAACAGAGTTTGCTGTCCTGAAATTAGAAACTCAGATTCAGAATTCTCAAAAGAAAAGCAGTTCATTGTAGTCTTTTCATTAATTCTCAAAGTCTTAACTTTATATAAAAGATTTATAAATATAATTTCTATAAGAAATTTATGTTTATAAAGAAGACTTTTTCAATATAGATTTTTAAAAATTTTTATTTTTTTCTTCTCTTCCACATATAGTAAATCAAATTAAATTTTTGATATCTTTAGATCTTGTTCCTATGGATCAATTTTAACATCAGCCTTTACCATGATATATTATAGAAACAGACAAATTAGAGATTGGCCTGCTTAAAGAATGACGAGTCATACACTGAAAGTGGTCTGATTTCATTCAGTAAGACTGATATATAGGGGCTGGGGATGTGGCTCAAGCGGTAGCGCGCTCGCCTGGTATGCGTGCGACCCGGGTTCGATCCTCAGCACCACATACCAACAAAGATGTTGTGTCCGCCGAGAACTAAAAAATAAATATTAAAAATTCTTTAAAAAAAAAAAAAGACTGATATATAAAGTCATTTTTTTGTCAATAAATAAAATTCAGRATAAAGCAGAGAAAGATTACTATTGGTAAAAAAATTAATTCCTGGGCTGGTGATGCAGCTCAGTGATATTGCACTTTGCAAGGTCCTGGGTTCAATCTCCAGAAACTAAAAAAAAGACCAAAAAGAATTAATTTCCAAATGAAATGAGGATTTAACATAATTATATCATTTCTAAAGATTTCATAGTTTAGGCAGGAATGTAACTCAGTGATAGAGTTACTTGCCTAACAGATGCAAGACCCTGGTTTTGATTCTCAGCTCCATGGGGGAAATTTTTCATAGTTTTAAAGACCAATGGAGGAAAAGCAAACATGATTTTTTAAAAAACATAGAACATACGTTGGATGCTGCATCATTCTCCTCCTTTGAACTTCCATCCTCTGCATCACTTCATGAGGATGCAATCTCTGTGCTGGAGGTGCTGTGGCTGGAATATGGTGTGAAATTGGTTGGTGTGTAGGAGGAAGATGCTGAGGGATCGGCGCAGCTGTACTGGCTAAATGAGTTGGGGGTGGGGGTGCCACAGGATGAGATGTTGCATGAGAAGATATTTGAGAATGGAAAGCATGTACAGGATGAGGAATAACATAATCCACTTGAGGTGGAGGCTGCGTCTGAGGAGGAGGGTTTCCATGAGAATGAGGGCAAGCAGAAGCTTGATGGTGAAGTGGTCTTGTCAAAGAAGCATCTGCAAGAAAAACATTCAGGTATGTTACAAAGGCTATGCAGAAGAACTTGCATTGCTATTTTATGAACACATTAACACATAGCTAATTTTTCTGAATATTTTTATCAGAGGCCAAGTCTATTATTCATGCAACAGACTTTTATCTTCTTCATGAATACTTTATCGGTCACTTAAGTCTATTCACAAAATAGACTGTTTTCATCTTTGAATAATCTTGGATATCTTCTCATGTCAATACATACAAAGGGTTTTTCTTTCTTTTCTAGTAGTACTGGAGATGAAACCCAATGCCCCGTACATGCTGAGCAAGTTGCTCTACCACTGAGCTACCTCCCCAGGCCTTTTACTTGGGTAGTGTCCCCATAAATTTGTGAGGCTCTCTTCAAACTTTCACTCTTCCTGCCTCAGCCTCCTGAGCAATTATGATTATAAGCATGCMCCACTATGCTTGGCCATATAATTGTACTTTCATTCACAGCTCTGATACACTAATCACAGGAATATATCAAAACTTTCTGAAGAAATCCCATTGATGAAAACTGGAAGGACCAGAATACTGCAGTAGGCCTCTATTCATCTTGTGCTCACTCTTTCATATACAGGCACATATACATACAAATGCGCTCACAGACCATTTTTATAGCATAAAATACTGTAAGTAGTGATGGGTCTGAGAAAATATCAAATTCAGATGCCTGCTGACAAAATATCACTCCTTAAGGTTACACAATTAATATATTCATCAACCACAAGAATGTATTACTATCTCTGCACTATCATTAAATTTTTAAATAAATGTGAATCTGAGAAAAATCTTTTATGGACCACTTACATTTCTTCTTCTCAGCTTTACCTATACATATATTCTTAGTCTTTGGTGTTATTCACCCTTTCTTAGTCCATTTATTAGTATTCTCTGTATGTATGAAAGCTTTGTCAGAAAAAGTGTAAACATTTTTTACAAACTACCTTTTACTTTTTTTTGCCACACACAAATTTTTTGGTTTTCCATAGTCAAATTGTGGGATTGGGAAATAGCTTAGTGATAGATATGCACTCGCCTAACATGTACAAGTCCTGGGTTTGATTCCCAGAACAGAGAGAGAGAGAGAGAGAGAGAGAGAGAGAGAGGGAAGAAGAGGAGAGAAGAGAGAGAGAGACACACACAGAGACACACAGAGGGAGGGAGGGAGAGAGGGAGGGAGAGAGGGAGGGAAGCAGGCAGGCAGGCAGGCAGAGGGAGGGAGGGAAGGAGGAAACCATAAAATCCACAAATAAAAAAAAAATTTAACAACTGTTATTTTATAAAAATACATGAGTTATTGGTTATAGGGTGATGCAGAGAAGAACCCAAAAACTCTTGGGTATATCTATAAAAAGAATTCTTTAATTGCTACTCCAATATTTCCCTGTCCCATGCCACTCCATGTCATTTTTCCTGAGCTCTATATTAAGATGGAGGAGGCATATTTGCCAGGAAACTGCTATGGAAGTTACATCTTAAATACAATGGTTCCTAAGGATGTTGGGGAAAAGCTAAATTCATGCATTGTGGCTGGGACTACAAATTAATACAACCACTTTAGAAAGTAGTATATACCCATACCATATGACCCAGTTATCCCACTCCTCATTATTTCTCCAAAAGAATTAAAATCAGCATATGATAGGGATACATGCATACCAATGTTTGAAGCAGTACAATTCCCAACAACCAATTTATGGAACCAGCCTAGGAATCCSTCAATAAATGAACAGATTAAGAAAATGTGATATATATACACAATGGAGTTTTACTTGGCCATAAGAATGAAATGTCACTTGCTGGTAAATAAATGGAACTAAAGAACATCATGCTGAGTGACATAAGCCAGACTCAGAAAGTTAAGAGCAGAATGTTCTTTCTCTTTCATATGGAGAAGCTAGAGAGAAATAAGGAATTTAAAAATGGGGGTAGGGAGGCACAAGAAGGTTTCATGAAAAATAGAAGGAAGTACAGTGGAGTACATAAAGGAAACTGATAGGGGAGGAGAGGAATAGGAAAGGGGAGAAACATATGAATGAAACTGACCAAACTATGTGATATGCATATATAAATATATCACAATAATTCCACTTTTATGTATAACTATATTGTACTGATTAAAAACTTTTTTWAAAAAATAGATAGTTCCTCTCATTTCTTCATTCTAAATCTTTATATTTTCAGAGACTATTAAAAGATTTCTGAGAAATAGTCATCTCTTTTAACTTAAGAGATCTCCAACTATATGACATGTTAAAAAAAATGTTTGTTGGATCTCACTGGGAAACATTCTTGATAGTCTGATACAGAGGGATGGCAATTTTCTACTTTTATACAAAAGGGTTTTCTGAAATTTTTAATGCTTCTATTTCACTCAGCAGAGGCAAAAGTTAGGTAACCATAACTCAACCATATYTTCAAAGGAAGCCTTGTTAGCATGCATTATAAAAGAAAACTTTCATTAATTTGAATCCAACTTGTAAGGCTAATTTTTAAACCAATTTTCTAAAAATTATGTTTTCAAATCATTGCTTTTCTCTTCAGGAATGCACAATGCTCAATAACTATGATCATAAAAACAGAAGTCACTGTTTTATTAAATTCACAGCATTTTTTCCAACTTAACTTCAACATGAACTTTTATATCTCTATAATCATAATAAACAAGACACAATATTCATAAATATTGCACAAACTTAAAGTTTTGATTCAGATTGAATAGATTTATTTAACTCCAGTCAACATTTTAATTCACTTTTCATTTAAACAAAACAGACTGGTAACCAGCAGAGAATTGACACATTCTATATTCTCACTGACCACTTTTCTTCCCTTTCAATTTTGTGAAGGCTCTTGCTAGTTTTTTAAAAACTGAATAAGGGCTGGGGATGTGGCTCAAGCGGTAGCTCGATCGCCTGGCATGCATGCGGCCCGGGTTCGATCCTCAGCACCACATACAAACAAAGATGTTGTGTCCGCCGAAAACTAAAAAATAAATATTAAAAAATTCTGTCTCTCTCTCTTTAATAAATAAAAATAAAAATAATAAAAATTAAAACTGAATAAAATATACAATTGTCAATTACACATAAAATTTTTTTAAATGGTCTTGATATTGTTCATAAAAGTTCATCATGTCACTTGCAAAAGCATTATTATGATCTGTTCCAACATTACAGTCACTAAATTCTTACAACTTTACAGCACACACTAATCACTTAATGATAAATAATAAGTAGTCTTATTAATATATCTTCTCAGTTCACCTTAATAAGATTCAAAACTTTAAAAGATACCATTTCAAGGACAGTAGCTTTATCACTTCATCAAGATCATACATTTTTCAAAAGCAAGAAAACATTTTCTTATGACACTAGTACTACTGGTATGAATGTAAATGTACTTCTGAAATAGAGAACTTTTCACTTGGGTCAAAGCTTCACAAGTCATAGCCAATTAGAATGATTCCTGTTTTATCAATGTGAAGAAACAGAGGAGCTGCAAGGTCATCTCAGATTTATTTAATTTTAAAGCTAGTTCTCTAAAACCTCACTGTCTACCCCAGTTTAATTTAAATGAACTATATGTTGTTTCACACAAGAATTAAAGCATATTGGAAAGGTTTAGGAAAGGAAATATGGGGAGAGGAATATATATGTATATGTAAAAATAAACTTAAGAAAAGAACTCTAGAGGGTTATCAGTCAATTGTCCCTAACAAAAGGGAATACAATTCAAATTTCTACCTTCACGCTCATTCACAGATTCCCAATGAGGACTATAAACTGGTATAACCCCTTGAAGAGAAATTTAACAGTACTTATTTGGAAGTGTATTTCTTTGACACATCAATCTCATTCCTAGAAGTTAATCCTATAGACGAACAACTACAAACAATTTAAATATCCATTAACAGAGGACTGATTTAATACATGGTAAAATATTATGAGGATATTAAAAAAAAAACAATAAGGGAAAGGGGATGAAAAAAGAATGAATACCAGTGAGCTCAATTATTATTTTGGGGGTGGGGGTACAGGGGATTGAACTCAGGAGCACTTAACACTGAGTCACATCCCCAGCCATTTTTATTTTTTTACTTTTGAGACTAGGTCTCACTAAGTTGCTTAGGGCCTAGTTGCTAAACTGCTGAGGCTGGCCTCGAATTTGTGATCCTCCTATCTCAGCCTCCCAAGTTGCTGGAATTATAAACATGTGCCACCCATGCTCAGCTAAGCCTGACTTTTRGGTGCTAATATGGGATATATCCAAGACATACTGTTAAATTTAAAAACAAAAAAAGCAGAATAATATGCTTGATATGGTTCTGTGAGGTTTTTGTTAGAAGAGACATGTATATTCATATTTACAAAGAAAAATTTCTGGAATTTTTGTAAGCTATAAAGGTTGCTACCTCTAAAAAACACAAATTCATGAGGTAGGGAGAAAGGTCATTTGTCATTTTACAACATTCTGCAATATTTGAACTTTTTAGAATGTATACAAGTTACTTTAAAAGTTAAAAAAAAGCTTAAGTCTGAAATATTTATTTTTTATGGAGACATTTAAAAAGGAATGTATTTATATATTGCTTCAGTGTTATCATTTTTTAGAGGGAGAAAAAGGAAATCACATATAACATTCTTAATAAAAGAGGATTCATCCAATTAAAGATAAATAATTATAACAAAACAGCACCTGTATTATCACACCAGTGTTCATACACAGAATTTGCCCATTGGTCAATGCTTTGCACTGTTTCTAAACCTATTTTCCAACTTACACTTTATATTTTAAGAAGAGGTAAATAAATATATCAACAGTTTCACTGTATAAATTCTGGGCTGATTCCAGCTGTGTCTACAGATCTTTAAAGTTATTGGAGTGGAAGAAGAAATTCAAAAATATACATAATTGAAAAATTATTGCTGGCAATATAATTAGAACAAAAGACAAATTTTCTTGTCTACTTCTTGGTTCATTTATCAAAGTATTTATTAAGCTTACATTTGACTATTTAGCTTATGATATAACAAAATATTAAATAGCCTAAGGTTATTTATAATTTCTTAAGATATCTAATAAACTTCAATTTCTATAGAAAAGCTGTGCCCAGTTCTGTTTTAATTGCCTACACCAAACAACCCTTTCTCAGGGGCAGGGGCTGGGACTGTAGCTCAGTGGCCGAGTGCTTGCTTAGTATGTGTGAGGCACTGGGTTCGAACAGAAAAATAAACAAATAAAATAAAGGCATATTGTCCATCTACAACTACAATTTTTTTTTTTTTTCAAAAAACCCTTTTCCAAATGGCAAAGCACTCTGTCAAGGAATTCTCTCATATGCCTTAGTTAACCATTGAGAATTTTTTTGTACTTTATAGTGCCTAGAAATACTACCTAACTTTCACATTTCTTCAGTTGCTCCTATAGAATAAATCTAAATTCATTAAAACTTCCTTTATAAGAATCTAAGGTTGTCATTCAATGTACCTTCAGTTTCAGAATTATTAAAATGGGAAAAATAACACCCCACTCTTAAGTCAAATAAATATTTAAAATTATAAATTAGGATTTATGAAAGATGAAAGATTATTTCACAGAGGAATGTACAATGCTTCCTTTATATGCCTCTAGGTTCTTTGCCCACTAAATTTATACTTACAAGGAGGTGGCATATAATGTCGACATGATGAGAGAGAGGGTTGTGGAGGGGGCTGGGGCTGGGGCTGTGCAACCATGCTTGATCCATAACCATCTATTGATAATGGCTGACTTGGGGCAGCAGCAGCAGCCTGATGGCCAAAGATTGCAGCTCGGGAAGAAGAAACAGGGCAGCAGGGGTCAAATGCAGATGCTCCGTGAAAACCACCACTTCCATGACTTCTGATACCACTGTTGCTCAGGTCTACTGGCAATGCCTGCTATATAAAGAGGAACTACATTTTATCTTTCTAAAGTTTTGTCAAAACATTATTTCATGTTATAATTTAAAAGTACTCCTAAAACAACCTAGAAAAATAAAATCTTTGAATTTATTTGAAAATGGTAATTCTAAGTGTAAGGACCTACTGAACACCAAGAAAAATACAGCATAACTCGGACTGTGCAAATAGTGGGTTTATACCCAAAATCTAAAATCGAGTTTTAAAAATCAAGCATAAAATTACCACAAGATGAACAAAAGTTTAGTATATTATTTTAAGATCTATTTCTCTTATATTATCCACATCTTAGAAAAAGAGAAACTTTAAAAATCTTATGTATATATTCTCCTTTACCTTCACATTCTGACCAGTAATTTAGAAAACATATCTTTAGAAAACATATCCTTTCATTAAAAACATTAAGGTACTAGATTAAAAACTCATATGTCCCAAGTTTATAAACTGTCTGATAGCAAGCTTATTCAACTGAAACTATTAATAGTACAAACAAATCTACATTATCCCAAAGAAACAAAGGGCATAAGATTATCCAGGCTAAATCTTGAATTAGCTTTGCCTCACTTGACAAACAATTATAAATTAGCTAGGTGTGATGGTGCACACCTGTAATCCCAGCTACTTGGGAGGCTGAGGCAGGAGGATCACAGGTTCAAAACCAGCCTGGGCAATTTAGCACTCCTCTCAAAATAAAAAGGGCTGGGGATGTAGCTCAGTAGTAGAGTACCCCTGGGTTTCATCCCCAATACCACAAAAAATAACAATTAATTAATTTATTTAATTAAAATTAAACCAATGCTTCTTTTTATCAGGAGTATAATTTTGTGGGAAAGTCTTGATTACTAAATTGGAAAATTAAACTAGAGTACAGAACCCATCTTCATTAATCACTAAGTTTTTTCCCCAAAAAGCACTTGGAAAAACACAAATAATTCTAGTCTATAACAATCTAAGTTATACTTCAAAATAGAAAGTAGAAGAATCTATAGATTCCCAACAAGTACAAATGAATGTTTCAGGAAATGGAAATGCTTATTATCTTGATTTGATCATTTCACACTGAATACATTTATCAAAATTATTGTAGTACATGCCATAAATATGTACAAATATGTATGCATTAAAATTTTTAATCCTAATTATTACACTTTTAACCTTAATCTAAAGAAGATTATAAAAAAAAACAATTGTTTCTTTGTATTTTTAAATATATGCCTACTCTTAGGTTTAGTATTGCTGTGGTTTTCAAAATGTGATCAAAAGATTCAGGACCGGATTTGTGGCTCGGTAGTAGAGTGCATGTGTGAGGCACTGGGTTCCATCCTCAGCACTACATAAAAATAAATAAATAAAATAAAGGTATTGTGTCCATCTAGAACTAAAAACAATATTAAAATAAATAAAGATTCAAKGTTACATATGAATTATATATGAACTGTTCAATACTGGAAGCTGAGGTACTAGAGATAAAAGCTGTCAGAGGCCGAGGTCACCCAACAGTCCTCAGAGGAATGATAAAGGTCTTTTCACTTTAAAAGGGCTCCAGAATCACGGACAACAAAAACAAAAATGCTAAAAGGGAAGGGGGAGTGAAGGTGCAAGCAGAAGCTGTATGAAGGAGAAAAGGAAAAGACTCTCTCCTCCATATTATGTGCACACAGTCTATTAAGTAAATGTCTGACTCACTGTATTTACCAATGAGTTGGCAAATGCAATTTATGTCCTCAATTCAGGTAAATAGGGTTTAAGAATAATATTGTGTGACAGTGAATTTGTTTATGACTTACATCTTTTACCTACTGCCCTACTACTTAGATTAAAATTGGCAAATGAAATGGAATATTATCATCCTAAGAAAGTRACGAATATTTTGTCACCAAGAGCTTGTCTTAATCTCTGTTCAAACATTAAGATAATCCCTCAAAAATAAAGTAGGGTGAAGGTCGTCCTCCAAGGGAACTTGGGGTAAAGTTAAAAGTAAAGTCTAAAAGAAGGGGGCTGAGGATGTGGCTCAAGCGGTAGCGCACTCGTCTGGCATGCGTGGAGCGCTGGGTTCGATCCTTAACACCATATAAAAATAAAGATATTGTGTCCACCTAAAACTAAAAAAATAAATATTTTTWAAAAAAGACTAAAAGAAGGAAAAAAACAATAGTGAGAATCCTCTTCTTCACAATTCTTATTCTAGAAAGAAAAAGAGGGTACACAAGATGGGTTCAGAGATGGGAAATATTATTTTACACTGATTATAAAGGATGTATCATACCAATTATTGCTCAAAAGAGAAAGCCATATGTAAGAGAGTAGTAAATTCTCTCAATAGAGTCACAGCCTAAATTTTCGTTGCCTGACCATAATCTGGCACTCAGTCATAAGACATCTTCACAATCACAAGTCCTCAGATTGCCTGTTAGCTTCTTCTATTTCTTAACTAAGCGTCAACTGGATACTATATGAAGTTGTATCTCATGAGGACATGGCTAATTTCAGAAGCTATCCTACATATATTTTGAGCTTTCAAACTGGTTATCTTCAAAATCTCACTCTGTTTACCATAATACCCATTATATCCACCGAATAACTGGGATCCTGCTAATTCTTCTCAAGCTTTATTTGCAGTCCATCTAACCTCTATTTAGAGATGGCCAGATAGGTTATATCTATTAAACAGAACTGAAAGAGATTCTACCCATAATAATTATCTCATGCTGAAAGAAAACATTTTGTATGCAACGGATCTCTCAAACCAACTCTATTATTTATTAACTGAACAACAGAAACTTCTGTGACAGACTCATCTTTTAACAGTTCTTTAACAAATGCAGGAGAAACTAAACTAGTATACCCATGTTTGAATAATTTTTCTGCAATTCTTATAAAACATTCTTTGAACCCAAATTTTCTAGTAAAAGTAAGCTTTACTTTTCAACAGACCCCTTCATTCAGTTCACTGAAGTTTTTCCTGATGCTACCAATCACATATCCAAGAATGGAACAGTCCAGATTATTAGTTAATACTTAAACTGTAACCACAACCAAAAACATCTAACATAGGGGCTGGGGATGTGGCTCAAGCGGTAACACGCTTGCCTGGCATACTCGGGGTGATGGGTTCGATCCTCAACACCACATAAAATAAAAATGGAGATGTTGTGTCCACCGAAGACTGAAAAATAAATATTGAAAAATTCTCTCTCTCTCCTCTCTTTCCTGGTCTCTCGTAAAAAAAAAAAAAATCAATCTAACATCTCAATCATATTTTCTTTTGCTAAACACTTCCAAATGAAGGTAGCTTCATTTAAGGGAAAAACCTCCTTCTTATTTATTTTTAATTGGTCAGACCCAAAACAGACAGCCATCAAAATTTAAAGAGATGAATCGGGTATGGTAAGAAAGGTCAGTATACAGAAAAGYAATTGCTCTGAATTTTCTTTTTGACTTTTTTCCCACCATATTACATGTCGAAGTTACAACTATTCCCTAAAATTACATCTTTTGTTTTTTCACAGCATGTAATACCCACAATTTATAAAACATTATACAGAAATAACCCAGCAAAAGCTAAAGTAGCAATATAATACCTGGCTCCATTTACTCATGTGACCATCAATACTAATTTAATATCATTTGACGTTTTAAGCACTCAACTAATAATATCAACCAATTGACTTAATTATAATTTTTTGCTAGGGACATATTTTAGTTCTCTAAAACTAAGAACTTCATCTGCTTCTGAGAAACTTTGCTACATGTTTGCACCTGAGAAAGTTGTTTATTTCTAGTTGCTTGGAAGTTATAGTGAGCTCTAGAATAGGAGGTACAAAAAAAAAAAAAAAAACCTTAAGACTTTTCCAATTTCTCATTAATTAGGGACATTATATCTCAAGACTTTATTTGAAATAAAATGCCAAAGATGTTTTACCTATACTCTAAAAATATCAAAAATCATTTCAGGCAGGCTGGGGTTGTAGGTGAGTGGTACAGTGCTTGCCTAGCACATGTGAGGCACTGGGTTCAATTCTCAGCACCACATATAAATAAATAAATACAAATAAAGGTGCATTGGCAACCAAAAAMAAAATATTTTTTAAACATTTCACAATTTAAAAAGTGATTTTTACATTATCACTTCTAATTTTCCATTTTCTTATTCCCCTCAATTATGTTCAACAATTTAGATCACATTAAAAAAATTAAACTTTAAAGTATTTCACAGACCACTAAATTAGGCCATTTCTGCATGCAAAAGTTATCATTAGGGGATTTTTCTACCTCCTGTTGAAAGCATCATGCTATATAAAAGAGAAGAAAGGAGGGAGAGGAAAGAAAGATTAATTCATCAGATTCCATACCTGGTCATGGTAGCTGGTACCAGAACTACTATTTGCTCCACAGGGTGCTTGTACTTGTGGAGGTCTTTCCACAGGGCAAGTAGGATCACTAAAAGAAGGAGAAACTGGGACAGCAGGATGGGGAGTGTGGTGGTGGTGGTGATGATGCTGAAAATGATGACCATGCTGCTGAAAACAACTTGTGTGCGGATGTCCTAATGCGTGGTGATTCTGTGATGACCCTCCACATGGTGAATGCTGAGGACAGCAGGAAGGTAACCTTGGCATTGCAGGAGGGCCAGTTTCTGTTACAGCACTAGATGTAGTTCTCCTCGAGTCATCTTGAAACAGAAAATGCAAAGAATAATTGAATCACTAAATATCACTGTGTAAAAATAAGTACTATGTATACATAATTAACAAATATTTGGTAAATTAAATCTTTATAAATAAGAATGCTATCATGTCACATTCTTAATATATACTTGATATAATTTTGAGCAATGGATTCACTGGGATTTTCCTAAATGTCTATAAATTCTTGAGAAGATTCATATTTACAATTTACCATGATGTATAAATCTGGCAATAGATCATTTTTTTCTAGGTCATAGTGAATTATTAGTTACCAATAAAATTGCATTGTAAAAATTCCAAAATATCATGTGAATTCTTCCATTAAATGCTACAAAGCAAAGAGTCTTCTGAATCCCAGGAATACCTAAAACCACATCATTCTCACGTAATACATACTGTTATGTACTTAAAATGTCTCCAGACAGTAAACCAGAACCCAAAATCTGGCTGAGTCTTATTAACTRCCAACATTCTTTCCTTTCCTTTTGGCCTATAAAGTTAGAACCAATAGAAGACTAACAGTATTWAAAAAATGATATTAGTGTGTGTCTTATAATAATCTAGAAAACTAGTGTCAAATGGTGGAGGTAATTGCATGGAGTCAAGTGGACTTGGGTACTAATTCTGAGGYTAAACATGTATTTAAGGGGTAAAATGATTAACAGTATGGCTTCAAAATGAAGACTGGGCTTAAAAGCTCTGCCTCCTAGGATTCAACTTTGGCAAGGGGAAAAAGACCTGCTCTTTGGCCTGTAAGGAGCTCATTATCAACCATGGAAAAAATTTAAAATATAAATCAACCAGTTGTAAAGATGTACTGGGTTCTAGCATAGTATAGAGGAACGTTGCAAAAAATATCATTCACTAGAATGTAAGCTCTAATGAGACAAAAATTTATGCTTTATTCCCAATGCTTGGAGCAATGCCTGATAACATAATATGTAAATATTTGTTATATAAATGAAAATAAACCTACACATGCATAATTCAAAAAGTACATGCAGAGGTCACAAAATGAGCAGTTTTGAGCCTGATGAGTCTGAGATAAGTGCACTATGGTCCAAGGTGATATTCGAGAGGTAGTTAGATATGAAAATTTAAAACACAGTGACAAATGGAGGATCATCACATCAGCATGTTGGTGATAGTTTGTAAAATCACCTGCAGTTATGAGATGGGCCAATGAAAAAAAGGGATGAGAACACAACTGAGAAGAAAATGAATATGAAACAGAGATTATTACCAGAATTTAAAGACCATGTTTGTTCATTCAGAAAGGAGTCAGAAGCACAAAGCAAAGAGTTTTGGTAAAGAAAATCCACTTCAAATGTACGCAGACATAATACAAGTATACCTTTACATGCAATAAAAATGGAATCAGTGAAGATGCTAAAGACACAGAGAATATAATTGTTAAAGCAATGACAAGAGAAGGGCTAAGAGATAGAGCACAGCTAAAAGAAGGACCAAGAAAGGAGTTGGTAGACCAGGAGTTAGGAAAGAATAGGTATAGATAYACAAAAGTTATTATGGAGGAATTGGAAGTTGCATAGTTCATGTTTGATAACCTTCATTTTTTCTTTCTTTCTTCCTGGAGGATGAAAGCCTTGAGAAAAAGAAGAGAGTTTTGGAAAAGCCACTGAGGGGAAGGAAAGGGAACTGATCAAGAAATATTTACCACTGAAAGTCCAAGACTAGATACTATAAATTGATAGAGGTACCTCTCTGCTTGGACGTTTTTATGGGAATCATTTAGGACTTTGGATAATGGCAAAACTAAATGGCATAAGTGATTCAAAGTTGAAAATATGTAAAAAGTGGGAGAGGGTAAGTTTTAGGAGAACATAGTTAAACTGATGCATATGGTATTGGAAGGAAACGAAGAAAGCTGTATTGAGTATATTTAATGTAGTCTGACAACTTATATTGACTTGTACCAGGTTTATGCAGCCTACCAATCTGGCTTGGGACAATGCTGTCCTGATGTAAAAATACAACATGAACAAGTCTATCTCAAAGACAGTCATCAGCATGGAGCAATATCAAGAAAGGGTCATTCCGGGACTGTAGTTCTGGCTCAGTGGCAGAGCACTTGCATGTGTGAGGCACTGGGTTCAATTCTCAGCACCACATATAAACAAACATCAACTTAGAAAAAAATCCAATTTAAAAATTTTTTTTCAAAAAAAAAAGTCATTTATTTAGAACTTAGGTAGAGAAATTATTACCTAAAAAATTAAATGTGAGTTGTAAGTAAACAGATATCTTGAAATAAATTAAGACATATGTAAATGAAAGCTTTGGGACTATTTTGAAATAAAGTTGGGTCTATGTGACATAAAAAGTAGATAAGAATAAAGTTACATAAAACTACCAGGAGACAGAATGAATGAGAAAAGTTCAAATCCTTGTCTCGGAGATTACTGTCCTCCGTCAAGGTATTCAAATTTCTAGATTTCTTCATTTGTAAAATGAGAAGAGTAATGCCAATACCAAGAAATTTTAAAGGATTAAATGATAACATGTAAAATAACATCTAAGTACTGAGGGAAAGAATATATACTCAATAAAAGAAATAAAAGCCCATTTTCATTTCTGCCTACATTTTTCTTTACAGAGTATAGTATTTAAAAGATATCCCTAGGAAATCTAAATTCTGCTATTAGTTTTTCAGAGAAAGGAGTACTTCCCTAATCCAGCCACAAGTAATTTTCCAACTTACTGAATGCAAGTTATAAGAATAGCATAAAATTAAATGAGATATTATTAAAAGAAGAGAAATCATAAATCATAAGGTAGTTTCATCAACAATGGTGATTCAGTCAATCTGAATTGCTACAGGGTCTATGTTGACCCTCTTTTATATATATACATATACATATATATATGTAAATGGACACAATAACTTTATTTTGCTTATTTAGATTTTTTTAGTGGTGCTGGGGAATCAAACTCAATGCCTCATGCATGCTAGGCAAGCGCTCTACCACTGAGCCACAACCCCAGCCCTATGTTGTCTCTCTCAATAAGCAGCTAACAAATTCCTATCTCTATACTATTGTCCAAAAGAGAGTTACCTTGAGGTTCAGTTAAACAGCTAATAAAGAGGGCTAGAAATATAACTCTAAGTAAAAATCAAGAAATAACTTGCAATAGACATAAAATTATAAAACTTTTCAGGGGTAGTATAGCTCTCAATGATAAGAGTGTATACTTAGCATGTAAAAGGCCCTGGGTTCAAAACCCAGCAGCAAAACGAAACAAAGGAATAAATCTTTGTGACCTTGGATTAGACAATCATTTCTCTTTTTTTAATTTGTATTTAATTTTGTTTATTGCATTTACAGCTGTATCAAGTTTTTTGTTGTTGTTGTCTTTTTTTTTTTTTTTAAGTTAAGGTATGGGGCTGGGGTGGTAGCTCAGTGGTAGAACGTTTGCCTAGCATGTGTGAGACACTGCATTCGATTCTCAGCACCAAATATAAATAAATAAAATAAAGGCCCATCAACAACTAAAAAAATATTAAAAAAAAAAAAAGTTAAGATATGGGGGCTAGGGTTGTGGCTCAGTGGTAGAGCAYGTGCCTAGCATGTGTGAGGCCCTGAGTTCAATTCTCAGCACCTCATATAAATAAAAATAAAGGTCCATTGACAACTAAAAAAGATATTTTTAAAAAAATGAGAAAACTTTCTAAAAATAAATAAATAAATAAAGTTCAGGTAAGCATACATATAGATATATACAAACACAGTAGGCACAAATATTAAGCACACAAATATTTAGATCAAAATATAAATTTTTTTTAGTACCTGGGAAGTTTCTCACATTCTCCTCTCAAGCCACATTTGTCTAAATAACCCCCACTCCAGTCTTTATTGCCATAGTTTTTTCTGTTGTTGTTTTTAACAAAGAACTCTTTTTTTTTAATCTGTTCTTTGTAGACATACTTGACAGTTGAGTGTATTTTGACATATCATACATACATGGAGTATAACTTTSCATTCTTGTGGTTGTACACAATGTGGAGWTACACTGGTTGTGTATTCATACATGAACACAGGAAAGCTATGTCCAATTCATTCTACTTAGATAACAGATTCTTAGATACAATGCCAAAACAACAACAACAGAGAGAAAATGGGYATCATCAAAATACTAAAACTTCCACCCTCATTTTCAATTATTTTGATTGTATACCTTGGAGTGAAATTGATGAGTCATATGTTATCTCTATTTGTTTCTGGGGGTTGAACCAGGGGTGCTCTATATTCTTGAGCTATATCTGCAATTCGTCTACCTATCTATGGAGAGAGGGTCTCACTCAGTTGCCTGAGCCGACCTCCAACCTGTGATCTTCCTGCTTCAGCCTTCTTTATAGTTGGAATTACAAGCAAGTAGCATTACAAACATGAACCATTGCACCAGGCTATGTTGTTTCTGTTTTTGTTTACTTTTTGTTTTGTTTTGTTTTGTTGTGTTTTGTTACCAGGGATTGAACCCAGGGTTTCTTAACTACTAGAGACATCACCAGTCTGTTTATTTTGAGACAGGGTCTCGCTGATTTGCTGACACTGGTTTTACAGGCTTGCACCAYCATGCCTGTCTGCTAGGTTAAACTTTTTGAGGAACTGCCCAAGTGTTTTCCTCAGCAGCTATGCCATTTATATTCTTTAGATGCATTTTGCAAGGGTTCCAATTTCTCTGCATCATACCAGCTCTGGTTATTCTAGTTTTTACATTACAATCATCCTAGTAGGTGTTAAGTGATATCTCACTATGGTTTTGATTTGTATTTCACTAATAACTAGCGATGCTAAACACTTTTACATGTGATTCTTTGGAAAAAATATCTACTCAAGTCTTTTGCCCATTTTTAAACTAGATAGTTTTTGTTTAATTTTCATAGTTCTTTACATATTCTCGATATTAGAACCCTTATTCAGATATGATTTGCAAGTATTTTTCTTGCATTYAATACAATGTTTTTCACAAACTTGATAGTCCTTTGATGGATCAAAATTTTTAAATTCTGATGAAGTTCAATTTACCTAGTTTTCTTTTGTTGCTCATTCATGTGTTTGGGTGTCAGTCATTTACTTTTCCCTAAGCTCATTTAGTTATGCTATAATACTTTGGTCACATACAGTACACAAATTCAAATATGAAATCATAGTCTAATTCTAATAAATACTATTTTGCTCACATATGGAAGTTTATTAAAATACAAGAATATGCTAAAGATGTAGCTCAGTGATAAAGTGCTCCTAGGTTCAAATCCCAGTACTAAAAGAAAAGGATATATAACATGTACTTGCTAATATAGCTAAAAACTTAAATTTAAAACAATGTTTTCCCTAACAAAAACAAAACGACAAAAGTCCTCCCCCACCATGCCACCACACACTTTTTATTACATACCTACTATAGAAGTACCAGTTGCACTATTGCTTGTAAGAGTAGTTGAAGTCTCTGATACTGTGGAAGGCTGACTACTGGTGACAGCTGATGTAGTATCAGAGGCCTGCTCAGAGGTAGATGGATTTGAATTGTTAATGGAAGCACTAGTAGTTTGTGACTCCATTCTTGCAGAAGTGGTTGGTACTACAGTAGGTTCTATAAAATAAAATTTTTTGTCTATTTAACATTTTGCAACAGATTAGTAATGGTTATATTTTAATCCATGCTAACATCTTTTTGTTAATTACTAAAGTAAAACAGATTAAAAACATAAACTCTCTTGGAATATATTTTTTAAAAAACATTTTATGTAGAAAAAGCTTTCATAAAGAAAACATTCATAGGGGCTGAGGTGGTGGCTCAGTGATAGACTAGCATGTGCAAGGCACTGGGTTCGATTCCCAGCACCGCATAAAAATAAATAAAATAAAAGTCTATTGACAACTAAAAAATATTTTTAAAAATTCACAAACAAGGAAAAGAGTAAATGAAAAACAAGAGTTCTTCTGCCATGCCTGTACACTTGGTCATAGGCTGTCAAAACACAAACTGCACTTCCCCTGGCACAGTAAATTCCAAGGTCAGACAGTTTGGACTGCAATTCTGATTTCACCACCATAGTATGACTGTAGATAATTTATTTTTACTAGTCTCCACTTCCTCATCTGTAAAACTAGAAAAGTAATAGAATTTTCTTCCTTTTAGAAATGTTAGGATGACCTGAGATCACACATATAATACCCTTCATATAATGCTTTAACATACATAATCCCTTAATAAACGTTAGCTATGGGTTTTAATATCTATTTTAATCTTACTTTCCATGCCTGTTTATATATTTTCAAGTTTTTATAAATGTAAAAAAAAACACAGATAAAAGGTAAATTAAAATCTTTACTAATATTAATATTCATTAAGACTTTTTAATAAAACTTAAAACACAAATGAGTTAAATTTCAAACATAAATATAAAATGGTTGCTTATTTCATTTTGAGCCAGACACAGTGGCATGAACTTAWAATCCTAGCATCTTGAAAGGCCAAGGCAGGAGGATCGCAAGTTCAAAGCCAGCTTTAGTAACTTAGTGAGGACCTGAGCAACTTAGCAAGACCCTGTCTGAAAATAAAAAATTAAAAAGGGCTGGGGATGGGCCAGGGTTGTGGCTCATTGATAGAGTGCTTGCCTAGCATGCATGAGGCAGTGGGTTCAATCCCTGGCACCACATTTAAAAAAAAAAAAAAAGGTATTTAAAAAGTAGGGGCGTTGCTGGGATGTGTCTCAGTGATAAAGCCAAAAAATTAAGATATTTCATTTTGCCAGGCATGGTGGTAATCCCATCAATTTGGGAGGCTAARGCAGGAGGATCATAAATTCAAAGCCAGCTTCAGCAACTCAGCAAGGCCTGCCTAAGCAGTAACTTAGAAAAACTCTATCTCAAAATTAAAAGTAAAGAGCTGGGGCATAGCTCAGGAGGAAAGCCCCTGAGTTCAGTGCCCAATATTCCCACTCAAAAACAATTAATAATTCTTCATAATTCTACAGTTACTATTCCAACTTACCATCTTCATCAACAGTAAGGTCCACAACTTCTGCAGCATTCTGCCTCAAGGGCTGTATAACAGTAGAAATCCTACTTCGGTTCCGTGGCTCCTGTGGTCGACCTGTATGAGAACTTGAACCTTGGCTCCAATGAGATCTGGAGTGTCCAAGGGTTGAACGAGACCTTAAATGACATCAATATTAAATTATAAATAAATAATTAATTTAGTCACCCCAGAAATCACTTGTTCTTAATGCAAGAATTCTTCAAAGTAATAACGGAAATAGAACAAAAAATTATGACTAGGATAATGCCTGGCACTCTAGTAAACTTTGCTGAATGAATACATCACCAATTGACCAAAAAAAAGTAAAAAATGCTATGTTAGAGCCAGGCACACACCTGTAATCACAGCTACTCAGGAGGCTGAGGCAGCCTCAGCAGTTTAGGCAGACCCTGTCTCAAAATTAAAAAAAAAAAAAACTAATAATAACAAGGGCTAGGATGAAGCACTGTGCTTCAATCCCCAATAACAGGGTAGGGAAAAAAAGAAAAAGAAATACTATATTGGACCAATAGTATAATATACAGGATTCTGTTTCAAGAACATTGCTCTCTTCAACTATTATTATTGACTATTCACCTTGATTATAATTAACTATTTACATTTTATGGTTAACTCAAAATTACTTACCATAAATAAAGAAATTTAATTTTAAAAAAATACACACTTATGTCCACAATATCTTATATGTTTAGCCCAGGCTGGGTTTGTAAAACACAATTTTGGTAACCCTAAACGATGCTAAGCTTCTGGTATTGTCCTAAGAGAATATAACCGACACCAGAGAGATATCCTGGGGTTAGCATAAGAAAGACACTGTGTGGCTAGTTTATAGTTTGATAGCCATAAGAGCATCACTTGTCTGAGCTGCTTTATCCTTATAAAGTATCTGATCACAAACCCTAAACCTTTTTTGTTTTTCACCTTTTAATTATATGGTACAGTATTCTTCTTAATTACTTATAGGTACACTTACATTTTAAGGATTGACTATGATTCTAGACTGAATATATACATGTATAGTATGTAGATGATGCAATCCTAAGGCCCAGAAGAAAAAATAAATTGCTTTTAGAAAGGTGGGGCCAATAGAACACAAGTGCTTATGCAGTTTGTTTTTTGTCTCCTGCCCAAATTGAATGTAAAACTAATAAAAGCATTTGATCAGCATGTATGGAAAAGTTGAACCAACTCCATTAACACACAATGTCATCAAGGGTGGTGAGTTTGCATACTCAGGAAACAACCCCGAACTTCAAACTGGGATGAAAAATGCCCTTAAAAATTATACAGCCCAGGGGCTGGGGATGTGGCTCAAGCGGTAGCGTGCTCGCCTGGAATGCGTGCGGCCCGGGTTCGATCCTCAGCACCACATACAAACAAAGATGTGTCCGCCGAGAACTAAAAAATAAATATTAAAAATTCTCTCTCTCTCTCTCCTCCCTCACTCTCTCTTAAAAAAAAAAAAAGAAAAAGAAAGACAGACCTTTTAAAAAAAAAAAAAAAAATTATACAGCCCAGGAGTTAAAAATTTGAGTTCAAATTTTAAAATGAATCAATCCCCAATACCACAAAAGTTTTTWAAAAAAAATTAGTCCATCTCCAATATTTGTGTATTATTCACATTTAAATTTCAAAGGAATTCACTACTTCTTTTTATCATAAAATAAATCAAATTTTATAAAGCATTAAGTTAAATTATTGGTTACCTACAGCAATGACTCTTAGGCTCTCACTGCTTACTTTAAAAAATTCTGAGCACCAAATTCTAGCTCTGTTGGTCTAGGACAAGGTGTAGGCAACAATATATCTTTATTTTATAATCTTCCCAAGTGAGTCAAACACAGCCTGGTTTGAAAACAACTGATCTAGTATAAGCATGCTTAAATTAGGTCTCTAAGAAAAAAATTATCTGTAGCACAAGTTTAAATAGTAAGTTTATTAATCAAGTTTAAGTAATTATTTTGATAACTTCAAATATACAACTAGRAATTAAAATCTCACCTATAGCTTTCTCCAACTGTTACAATCTCCACTTCACTGTCAGTTGAGGTAACATTAATTTCTTCATTGGCAGTGACCTGGGGAGTGAAGGAAGCTTCTATCACCACAACATCTTCATCAATACTTCCTGAAAACAAACAAAATATTTAAAGAACATCCATTTGTTAACAAATTACAAGGCAGAAATTTTCATTTTTACCTGAAGACTATGAAATTCATGATGAAAGGAGAATTGTATAGTAATTTATTTTGGATAGTTACTCAAAAGAAGAGACAATTTCTGCTATGACTTCAGAAATTTTAAGCATGACTACAAATGCAAGGAGCAGAAACAAAAGCAACTGGCTGCAAAAAGATACTTTTGATAGTTAACTAGCACCTACATGTTGAGTAGTTACAGTACTGTACTTAATATATGTAAAAAATATGAACTCTGAATTGGAATTAGGTCTGAATTACAAATATTGTTTACTGTGTGCCTGGGCAAGTCTTTAGAATTATTGAAGAAGCTTCAGTTTCTTAATAGGGCTTAACATTCAGGATAYTGTACATGACAGAGTTTGTGCTTGCAAACCAGAAATATACACTTTAAATAAAGTGGGTGAATTTGTTTTCTACTCTTAATATTCTTATTGTGGGAACATTCTTATCAAGACATTTGTATTATCAGCATTTGATATAACATTTGTATATAACAGAGGATGTTTTTTWAAAAAATCATCAGGTGATAATCCTTTCAGATTTGTGAAAAATCCAGTAAGAAAAAACACAACTTTTATTTTTTAACATTTTAACCATTTTTAAGTTTAGCAACATTAAGTATATTTGAAATGTTATGAAACATCTCTAGTACCTTTTCATCATGCCAATCTGAAGCTATACCCATTATGCCCACCCATCCCCCCATAGCACCATCATCATTCTACTGTTTCAGAGAATATGACTACATTAGATGGCACATAATAGAATTACATAGTATGTGTCATTTTGTGAATAGCTTTTAATGGTTGCATAGTTCCCTTTGTATGGATAATTCCACATGCTGAAAGACCTACAATATTCACTTATCCTTGCATATGTTTCCACGTTTTCTGAGGGAAATGAAAAACTGCCCACACAGATTACTTCTGGATAATAAAGACTGGACCCTTTGAAAAGGAGATAAGTTTTATATCTTACTTTCTCAGTACTTTAAAATTCCACACCATGTGAATGCTATTATTAAATCTTTATTTAAAAAAAAAAAAAGCTTTCAAAACAAAATACTTGTCTAGAAATCAGAAAACATCAAGGGTACTTCATTTAAACTTTTTAGATTTATGTTTCCAGAAATAAACATTTAAGGGTAATGTCTAAAAAATAATGTAGTTGAGCCTGGCACAGTGGTGCACACCTATAATCCCAGCAGCTTGGAAGGCTGAGGCAGGAGCATCACAAGTTTAAGCCCAGCCTCAGCAACTTAGTGAGACTCTTAAAATAAAAATAAAAAAAGGGTTTGGTGGTGGTGGTGTGGGGGGGGAGGTGTTGAGGATATAGCTCAATTGGTAGAGTGCTTGCTTAGCAAGCACAAGGCCCTTGGTTCAATCCCCAGCACAACCAAAAAAAAAGGGAGGGGGGGGCTGGATGTAGCTCAGTAGTTAAACGCCTCTGAGTTCAATTCCCAAAAACCAAAACATAAATAAAAATAATGTAATTGAAATACTTTAATTCTACCAAGAAACATGATTTTTAAATGCTATAATAAGTATTAAACAAGATTTTAAAATGCAAATCTTAAAATTTTAATTTGYACTAAACTTGAATACTTAAGAATATAAAAACCCTTTCCTTCCCAGAAACAGACCTTCATTTACTATATTCTCACTCCTCTACAAATATCAACTCCTTAGAAACTTCTATTCCAATTATCAACCACTCTGCCTCACTAATTTCAAGAAATTGGGCTCTAATGCTCCCTCCCCTAACACTAGAGTCTTYGGATCCTGACCATAGGAAAAAAATGTGACAACTAAGCAAGACAAGTCCTTTTTTTCACCTCCCTCTTTCTCAAGAGACCTCAAGAAGCAATTGCTATACATTTCTCCCAGTTACAAGTGATCTCAATGAAGTCTTCTTAAAACAAATATTCAAATAGTTTTTTTAAAAAAAAATAAACTAAATATGGCCAAATAAGAACAAGGTTACGGATTTTAGGGTTCTGGAAAAAATAGAAAAACAAAAATGAAAAAGGAAGATACTCATATGGAAGGAGAGAGAGACAAGAAAAGGAAAATGGCACATATGGATAGTAGACTAATAGGCTTTGACCCTGACAAACAGAACATCAGGCAAAAACTGGGACAGCTTTGCATCAGTCTTAGAAAACGTATTCCTAGTCCTTTGAAAAGCTCTCCCTATGACCCAATTCCCTTATTCCCTAAATTCAAAAGAAATTAATCTAGTTCCCTCAGTGAAGACTTAGCTCTTTAATATTCATTCCAATACAACTCTTTAAATTACAAGTACAGAAATGATGCATTCTTTTGGGATGGTCTGTATACATGAAAAATACTTATACTTCAGAATTATCTGCACATTCTTAGTGCACTTAAATATAATATCTATTCTGTATGCAAGAGTGCATGAAAGCACATATGCAAGTGCTATTCCTCCATCATCTGCTTTGCTGAGCACTGTCATAATCAAAAGTTTATAAGTCCTAATATWTAAATAAGCTACCAAAAACTTCAAAGTATTTTTCGGCTTGACATGACAAAGTGACAATGGATAATAAAAACAATGTACTTAAAAGAACTATTAAACAGTCTTTTTTAGTAACTAAAGTTTTTGCATGATTAAATGAGAAAAAAATCCATCATACAGTTTCTGGAAAAATATTCACATAAGTTAAACATACTAAAGTACTACAGGGAAAAAATATTAGTACCATAAATCAACAACTCACCTAAAATATAATCTAATTCTATCCAAAATGGTATAAGTAATTAATCTAAAAAGAAAAAAGCAACCAATTCTGATTTTATTTTTGTCATAGAAATATTTTTTATTTTTTTCTTGGAATTAGATAATATTATAGTTGGTAATTTATGTGGTTTTAAAAAATAAGTCAATAGAACTTTATATTCTCTTTAAAGATGATAAAAGCTGTAAGTCATAACCCTAAGTCATAAAACCAAGAAAATAAGTATAAATACAATGCAATACTTTTCATGTTTTACCAAAACATTCTTACCTGAGGGAGCAGCTGGATTGTTTTGGTGGTTTTCACTAGCAGAAACAAACAAATCCTCCTCTCCTTCAGTTGAAGAGCTGGAAGAGGATTCACTGCTGAGGTCATTCTCACTGGAACTACTAGAACTGGGTAGTAATGCGTATTTTCTTCGGGCTAACACTTCTCGTTTTTTCCTCTGCATTAATATCCTCTCTTTTTGTTTCTGTGTCCTCTGTGAGGAATTATTTTTTACAAATCTCTTTCTGCATGGAAGTCTCCTTAATGAACTGCTATGAAAACAAGGTCTTTTCATTAACAATCCCGACACAGATTCTGTCTCAGTTCGAGGCCACTTTTGGGAACGTGCACTATGACTTCTACTTTTAGCACTCAAAATGGTCTGGGAATGTCTTACAGAGACTTCTTTATCCTCATCCGAAGTCACAGTATCAGAGTCTCCAAAATGCAGACTAGATGAAGGAGAAGAAAGACAATCACTGAAGGAGGAATCATTATCTTCATCACTTGGTGTTTCTAGGTGTTGCCTCAATCCTAATATTCCCTGATTCTCTTTCACACAATTCTGCATATATGAAGGGCCAGCCTGCTGGCTTTTGCGTTTTTTTCTCACAACAACACTTTTTTCTTGTTCTTGCTGGTTACCATTCCTGTCCTTTTCTTGTTTTTGCGAATCATCACACAAGTGAGAGAATTCATTCCCCACTTTACTATTAATCATCTCAACTTCTGCAGGAAAACTTTTGGCTGCCCCAATGGGCTCTGGATGTAGAAGGACCCCTTTCAGACTCTCCTGTGTCTTTGGTGCATCAGAAGGAATCTCACTCTTCATATCCACTTTTAAGGTATAAAGCTTGTTATATTCAGGAGTCCATTGAGACATGGGAAACTTTAAGGTAGGCCTAGAAGAAACAATAAGATATTTTAAAGACTTTTAACAGGTTTTATCACACTACTTATTTGAAGAGTTCTTGAATTCCATTAAGAACATCCCTTATAATACAGCAGAATTGTCTTTTCCTTATCAGGATTCAATATGGCCATCACGAGTCATTTTACTGTTCCTATAAAACATTTTTCTGTGATACTTCTGCTTGTGGCCCCAATTTTTAGAAATGCAGAAGCTATCACAGAACATTGGCATACTTGGAAAAGTTGTATTAACAAAAAAACTAATCTTACTGTATGATTTGGTTATAATCAAATACTTTCTTCAAAACTTACATAATAAAAGTAGAAAAAAAGGATTAGAATTCAAAACAGGACCATATGATTCAGCAATTCCACTACTGGGTATAAATCCAAAGGAAACAAAATTGGTTTGTCAAAGAGACATCTGTACTATTATGTTTACTGCAGCACTATATTTGCACCATGGAATATTATTCAGCCATAAAAAATGAAATTCCATCACTTGTGACAACACAGATGAAACAGGAGATTATGTTAAGTGAAATAAACCAGACAGAAAGACAAGTTCTTCATGATCTCATTCATATGTGGAATCCAAAAAAAGAGCTTCTCTCACAGAAGTTGAGAGAAGAATATTGGTCACCAGAAGCTGGGGAAGGAAGAATAGGGAGAGGTTAATCATCAATGGGTACAGTTATAGTTAGATAGGAATAAGGAGTTCTGTTGTGCTAATGCACAAGGTAACTGTAGACAATGATAATGTAATGTATATTTCAAAAAGCTGGAAAAGATTTTGAAGATTTACACCATAAAAAATGATGAATGTTTGAGGAGATACGTTTAACCTTATTTAATCATTATGTAATGTATACATGTATCAGAACATCACAATTTTTAAAAATTAAATTTTAAAAAAGTATAAAAAAGAATTCAGAAGACTGATTATGCCAAGTGTGGTGGCGCACAACTATAATCCCAGTAGCTTGAGAGGCTGAGGCAGGAGGGTTGAGAGTTTCAAAGCCAGTCTCAGCAACTTAGCAAGGCCCTAAGCAACTAAGTGAGACCCTGTCTCTAAATAAAATATAAAAAAGGGTTGGGGATGTGGCTCAGTGGTTAAGCCCCCTGGATTCAATCCCCAGTACGGAAAAAAAAAAGACTGCTTACACAACATGTTTTTCTCTTGGTATAACTTTTTAAGGGGTGATTTTAAAAGTATTATATTTTTTAAAAATATTAATTTTTGTACATCTGAATGTAACATTAGATGGATTGCTATAAATAATAAACTAATATTAATAAGTTATCTTTCCTATAGTTCTTCTCTTCATGCTACTTTATTCTCTAATAAGAATCTTAATTCTGATAGACCATAGGGCACAACTATTGCATTTCAATTTTAGATAAGGACTAGAGCCTTATGTTGCTGAAGATCATTTAGTTAAGCAAATTACAGGAGGCAGACTGTAAGATAAGAATCATCAACACACTCAAAGGCAAGAAAACCCAAATCTCAATGACAAGGCACATGGCTACAATAAAAAAAAAAAACATATATAGGGGCTGGGGATGTGGCTCAAGCGGTAGCGCTCGCCTGGCATGCGTGCGGCCTGGGTTCGATCCTCAGCACCACATACCAACAAAGATGTTGTGTCCGCCAACTAAAAAATAAATATTAAAAATTCTCTCTCTCTCTCTCTCTCTCTCCTCTCTCACTCTCTTTAAAAAAAAAAAAAAGATCAGCTGAGGCAATTTAGCAAGACCTTCATTTAAAAAAAAAACATATATATGTGGTAGAAAAAAATGTAAAGGAACTGCAATCCTCATAAATTGCTGATGAGAATGGAAAATGGTGCAGATACTTTGGAAACCAGTTAGGCAGTACCTCAAAAGACTAAACTAAGAGTTGGGGATGTAGTTCAGTGGTAGTACATTAGCTTAGCATGCACAAGGACCTGACTTCAATCTCCAGCACCAAAGGGGAAAAGAGAGATTAAAGAATTATCACAGGACCCAGCAAATCTACTCCTAGACCTACAAACAAGAGAAATGAGAAGATACAGTACAAAATCATAACTGCAAAAAAGTGGCAACAACATGAATTCCATCAAAATGATGAATGAACAAATCCATACAAAGAATTATAATTTAGTTTGCTGTGGGTGTGCCTCTGTGGTTAAGTAGCCTTGGGTTCAATCCCTAGTACCAAAAAAGGGGCAGAGGGGCTGGGGTTGTGGCTCAGTGGTAGAGTGCTCCCCTAGCATGAGGCACTAGATTCAAACCTCAGCACCACATAAAAATAAAAAATAAATATATTGTGTCCATCTAAAACTAAAAAATAAATATTTTTTAAAAAGAATTATAATTTAGTAATCTAAAGAAATAAAATAATGATCCAAGTTATAACATGGATGAACATTTACATAGTTCATTTTAATGGGAGAACATTATATTAACTAATCATAAAAGACTATGCCGGGTAAGATTCCTTTTATATGAAATGTCCAGAATAGGCAAATCTATAGAGCTATATAGAGAGCTATAAAGTAGATTAGTGGTTGCTTAAAACTGAGGATGAAGGGAGATAGGGTGTGATAACCAAAAACTATAAGGATTCTTCTTGATGAACTGACAATGTACTAAAATTGTGGTAATGACTATTCAATTCATGAATATACTCAAATAGAGTAATCTCMAAAAGCTGTAGTCAAAAAGTCAAGAGGAATCCTTTCATATCCCATAATTATGGACCCCATCAGGAACAAAAGAGTCATGATCTTTTGGAAAGATCTAGGATTCATCCAGAAGTTCAAGTCTCCCAGGAGTTTTAGTAGGTTGGATCTCTGAGGTGATAGTCTTTATTTGCTAAAGAAAAAAATGGCTATTTTAGACTCTTCATCATTAATTACTGAGTCACTCTCGAGGTCTTGGAATARAGACCCTCAGAGGCAATGGAAATTTGCAAAAAGGATAAAGTCTAAGAACACGGATCCATAAATGAATTTGCAAAGAGTTGATTCACAACATAATTTACTAAGCTCAATTTCCTTTCTATCACTTTATGCACAAAACAATGAACTCTTTGTGATTAATTCTGCTCTGGTCTTTGGTCAGTTCTGGTCTTTCCAACAAGACAGGGTTGAGGGGTAGTTAAAAGGAGGGGTGGTTTGGTGTATGATGTGCTGTATGTCTGTAAACCAGTAATTTTTCTCTGAGTTACCAAGACACTCAGTCATTAATAGCAAAATTAACATTCCCATTAACTAAGAGGTTCTCACTAAGGTAATACAAATTTATGTTCTATTTTGTACTGAGAAAATGTAAGTTAGTTCATGAAAATAAATACCAGTAATGCATTTGTAAACTCAAAAGCCATCCAAAATAACAAAGGAGCAATAAAAGATGTCCTGAGCTATTTGTTATTTAATAAAATCATAGCCTAGAGTCTTTTAATTTCTATAAAAAATTACTGGCTGATTTAAGTTACGAATAAGGAGACAAATATTATGAAATATAGCAAATCGAATATTAGTTCTAATAATAAAACCATAAAATACCTGTCCCTCTTTTGTGTTGATTTGATCCCATCCACATATTATTTACTCCAGAATAACTAATTATTCCCTAGTAAACTTTGTTCTAAAAATACATGAAAGCTAAAAATTGCTAATTTTCAACAGTCACTAATATGGCATTATGTAAAAATGTGGATGTGTAACCGATGTGATTCTCTAATCTGTATTTGGGGTAAAAATGGGAGTTCATAACCCACTTGAATCTAATGTATGAAAGATGATATGTCAAGAGCTTTGTAATGTTTTGAACAACCAATAAAAAAAAAAAGACTGAAAATTAGTTAGGATTTGCCAAGTTTACAAATAAACTTATGTGGGCCAAAGGAAGGAATCCATTAAGAATACTCCTACAATTTTGAGGAATTCTACTTATAAATTGGCATACGCTATTACTAGTATGACCTTTCACCACCAACAATAAATGTAAAATTTTGTCCCCCCACTCTCTTTTATGGGGGAAGGGGAGACCTAAACTCCTGGGCTCAAACAATCCTAAATAAGTTTGGGATGACAGGTACATGCCACTTCACTCTGCTAAATACTTGTTTCAAGTTTAAATAAAAATTTGATTATTTATTTTACTTGACTATAAAAACAAGATTTTTAAAAAGGGATAGTTGATTTGACAATTTTTCCATAAAAGTTTCAGAAATCACCAGAAAATTAACTAGCAATATGTTTAACCTTTATCTTTTTTCATATAATTAGGTGAAAACATTTTTAACCTAAGTATATTAAATCAATTGCCTGATGCCAATACTCCCTCTGCTACTACCTGAACGCTTTAAAACTACCAGCATTCATATCTAGATGAAGGAGACAAAATGCTTTGTTATACATTCTAAATAGTCAAATTTCCTAGTCAAAATTTCCTTATCAAGGATGGCATTTCCAGGCTAGGGTTGTGGCTCAGTGGTAGGGTGCTTGAATATCATGCATGAGGCACTGGGTTCGATTCTCAGTACCACATACAAATAAGTAAAATAAAGGTCCATCAACAACTAAACAATATTTAAAAATAAAAGAATGGCATTTCCCCTTAAAAGTCATCACTATGGACTCTTACCTACATTAGCAAAAATTAAATCAGACCTAAATCTAATTATTCTCTATTTTGAAGAGGGAGAGAACCCTGCTAAGCTTATTAGCAAATAATTAACTTGCAGTCTAATACCAGGTTAAAAAAAGAAAAAGAGGAAGTGATATTCAGAAACCTGTTTATTTATAGGTTACATAAAAAATTAAAACATAAAAACAGATCAATGATCTTGGCAACCTACCCTGAACAGACAATAAAATTCAGAAAACATACTGTTAGCTAGAATCAAGACTCATWTGGCCTGGCCACTTGAAGGCTCAGGTAAGAGGAGGATGGAAACTTAGCAAGATCCTGTCTCAAAAGAAAAAATTATAAAGGG